GCCGGGAGGGATTCCTCCTGACGAACTGGGATAAATCCTCTGTGGTGGGAGGGGTTCCTCCCGACAAGAGGATTTATCTTGCTGGCTGTGGCGGAGTTAACACCGTTTCAACCCCAGCGTGATCATCGCCGCAACCCGCCGAAAAAGGATGATCGAGGAGTCAAGGTTGCTGGATTGGCCAGCCAACAGAAGAACTAGTTCCGCGGGGGTAACCAGCTTGTCAGGAGGAATCCCTCCCGGCGAGCTGGTACACAATCCAGCTCGTCGGGAGGAATCCCACCAGTTCGTCGGAAGGGATTTCTTCCGACGAACTGGTGTACATAGCCTCTTGTCGGGAGGAACCCCTCCCGACGGTGTGGCCTCTGACTCTCTAGGCCGAGGGGGGCCGTTTTTTTTTTTTCTTTTTTTTTGAAAAAACATTCCCTGCTGGAAGGTTATCCTTCCAGCCGGCGATAGTTGACCTGTAAAAGGGCGGGTATCCGCGGATATCCGCACGGATACCCGCCAGCGCCAGCGGATACCCGCCCGCAGATGCGGATGCGGATGCGGATGCGTGATTCGGCTGAAATCTTGAGCGGATATCCGCATCTGCGCGGATATCCGGATCCAACGCGACCATCTCTATCATTTGGTGCCTGTCTTGCTGACAAATTTGGAATTTGACTTGGTTGACAGGACTGAGTTCAGTGTTAAGTGATCCAAAAATAAGTTTAGAAACTGATAAAAGGAAAAAAAGAGTAAATGGATTTGAATGTTATTGGCAAGGATTGAGGTACAGTTGCAACCTTCCTACAGCATGCAATGACACTGATGGGTTTCAAAGTAAGCCTGCACACACATGCATGCCAACTTTCCTAACCCAATTTGGCAGGGATGCATGCAAGTAAGATTGGCCAGCTGACATTCAACTGTAGACTTGAACACTGGCTTGCCTTGACATGCAAGTCTTGTCAATGTGGCCATTCTTCCTCATCATGCAGCCTCAACACAACCAACCTCCCCACTCATGATGGACCCAAAACTACCCCAAAATCCCTCAAAAAGCTGCCATTATCCTTGATTCCTCCTCCCATTCCCACTCACTTCACTTGACTAATTTCCACCTGATTCATTTTGTACAAGGTAGGTCATTCACATGAGTGTTAATCCTCTTTTGGTGTGTTGTGGCATGGGGGATGAGTGCTGATACTTGACTGTGATGACTGAGGGCCAACAGGCCAATTTTGTTGAGTTGATGAGTGTGGGTGCAGTGTAGGAGTTTTTAGGAGGTTGAATTTTTGTCATTGGATGGGGATTCCATTTTGATCAAATTCTTTTGGGTGATCCAGTTGCCAAGGAGTTGAGCCAACACTGGGAGGTTACGCTACCAGTAACGGTTGTGTAACGATAACGCAACAAAACCAGGGCTGTTAGCGTTGCAATAATCGCAACGGCCTTTCTGTTACGTTTTACTTTTTAATTTTTCTGATTTTTTTTTGTTGTTACGTTATCCACAGCGCAAAAAGGTGGATTAACAAATGAATAACTAGGTCAATAACGCAGATAACTTCTGATTTGTGTTATTGTTCTGGGTAACGAGGGGAGAAACCCCCTTTGTTACGTTACTCATGACCCAAAAATCCATTCTGTCTGGATAACGCTAACGGCGTTATCTGGACAGCTGGGAAGTTATGTTACAAAAATCCCTTTGGATATCGTAACATATGTAACTTCCCAGTGTTGGTTGAGCTGAGTTGTTTGGCAGTGCTGGTACTATTGAATAATTGAAAAGAAAGGTTGTGTACTGTGGGACTTGAACCCACAACCTCAGCATTCATGAGTAATGCTCTGACCATTAAGCAAAGTACACATAGCTAATGTTGAATACATTGGTGATGTATGCTTGTGAAAATGTGCTGATGTAGTGGATCATGACAAATTGCCTCCAATGCTGATTAGAAGTCTCACATATGTGTTAGCAATGTGTAGCAAGCAGTGTCTGAGTTTGACACTTCAACAGGTCCAACCCCAAAGTGGGGTGCTCAATGTAGTTCTTGTTTTTGGTGGTGGCAAGTTGTCCTGCAAGATCAGTTGCATGTGTGGGAAATCCAACTTTGAATCTCACTACTATATCACTTGCAAGATATAAAATCAACACACAAGCCCTGCCCTCAGGGGGATACAACACTTGAGCTTGCAGAGGTGTGTAGAGAAAAATTGTAGGCACTAATACCCATTTAGCAGTGGTTAATTCTTGCTCAGTATGGCATGCACATGTTTTTTTGGACAATCTTGTAGAAATCCATAATCAACCCGATAATTACGGGCTTCAGTGATTTATATTCATTAGTTTATAATGCTCCAAATCCCCTATGTTATCTAGCCACTGTACAAAATCAGTGGGATATAACCTACCATAAAATAAAGTTGGGCATTACATAATTTGACTTCATTACTCAAAAACAGGGCCATTTTTTCAATAAAGGTTTAAAATTATTCATCTATTGAGAAAGCTTTCAAAGAACAAAAGCCTTGATAATTATATTTATCCTTCAGCAGATCTATGACAGTATCCCAATATTCTTGGTCAGTCTTGAATACAGAATTAAAATCTACTTTCTTTTCATTCTTGTACCAGTAGCCAATCAATGTCAAAGCTACTTGAAGAGTAGTGAGATATGACTTTGTATCACTGAAATAAGACATCAAATAGATTTGAGCCTCATGAAAATTGGACTCCGAAAGAACAAAATTGTGACTTGTTTGATTCTCCAGTGTGAACCTTCCAAAAAGAGGCAATTTATTGCTACCAGGCTTTATAAAGATATCATAGATCCAGTGAAAGAATGTTTGATCAATGTCAATATCAGTTTGAACACCCCTAGAGTTGATGTATTTCAGAAATTCTGAATGACATATTTTCAAGTTTATCATCAATGATTTCAACTTTTTAAAAGTTTGGTCTTTTCTGGCGAGATGTCCGGTTTCGAGCTTAATCCAAATGTATCCGAGAACTCTTCTTTGATTGTCATAAGTAATTGATCGGAGCAAAGCAGGGAGTTTATCTGCGCGCGTTTTTGATTTCCTGAACGTCTCGTCTTGACCTTTAGTCCTGGGATCGGAAAAAGTCCTTTCAAAATAGTTCAAGATATCGCCTTCTTTCTTTCCTAGTCTCAATTCGTGTATAACTTGGTATGATCTTGGTTTCATTGTTTGTGGAAATTTTTCTAGATCAAAGATTGCAAAATTTCCCAATTTTTGTCTCCCAACAACAAAATCAGAGCTGCTTCCGACTTTCATATGGGAATGAATTCCATCAGCGACCAGTGACCGGATCTTTGAATCGAAATCAGCTGCATTAAGATTTCCCAGCTCCTTGTAAATTTCGGGCTTGAACTCTTCATAGTACAGCCTGATGAGCGAAAGTGCAGGTTGAATGGCTACGTCTGAATTTTGTGGTAATGATAGGAACTCGATCAATATTCTCTGTATCGGTCCGAATTCTTCTCCTGGTTTAAACGCATTTAAAGCGTCACAGCTGATTCTTCCTAGAACTGGTGCACTATTTCTAGGTTGGAAAGCTACCTCGAAGAGCCAAGCTATCAGCTTTTGGTGGTAGTTGAGCTCAGAATGGTTCAATGTGTGTGTTGCATCCAAATTCCTCAAAACAGCAGTATTAATGAATAGGAGCCATTTAATCAAGTCAACAAATTGAGAATAGAGCTTTCGACCTTTTTGAGCTTTGGGTTGGGTTGGCTCGCTTCCAGGACGGACCTTGCGAGCCGATCCAATCCTGATTATGTATGAATTGCCTTTTCGAGACATCCTAGTTGTCAATCCGTGTATTGGATGATCATTTCTATTTGATGTGCTGCTTGAAGGTGCAAAGAGTTCCATCATGTGATAATCAAATTTTTTGGTAAAGCTTGCCAAAAGTCTGTCATTAATACTTCTTCCTAAGAACCTGCCTTTATTGAGAAGAGTCGAATCCTCGGATTCGTGCACATTTTCGCCCTCATCGCTGTTGTTGACTTGAAGAGACTCGTTGGAAACTTCCGCCTGGTCTTGATTTAGCGATGCCTCTGACGAAACTTGACGGTTCTCGTTCAATTGTCCAAAGAACTTGCTGCCATATTGGGCATGTGAGTTACCCGGAGCTACAATTCCTGATATCCAAGGGTCGCGCAATCCCGAATGGTCAATCAGATTCTTGAACTTCCAGAAAACAACCCCATTTTGGATTTTCTAGCTGCTTACCTTGATTTCCCGAATGATCCTCTACTTGATGATCAGGATGCTGAATTTGACGGTTGGTAACTCCATCATGTGGATCAGATCGAATTGGTGGATGAACTTGAAAATGCGCTTGATCTTCTCCAACAAACAATTCCAATTGTGGGAGATGCGGGTGTACTTGTGGGTCATCCTGCAAGAGGGATGAAGAATGTTGAGTATCGAAATTTTCGAATTCAGGGGATTGCAATTGTTTGAGCAGCTTAGACATCTTGAGGTCATCATCATCGGTACTCATGTCTGACATAGATTCAAACATAGACTCTGGTGTTGGTTCAATGGAATGCTGTTTTTCGAAAGTGAAGCCCATTCCGTTTTGTAATATGGAGTGGGATGGTGACCTCAAGAACGAAGAAGGCGAAGTTGAGGCAGAAGAAAAACTGGCAAGCTCGTAAAGATCGTAGCCTGATCGATGGTTTTGTATCCCTGATTGAGGCATAAACAGACGCGGCGGCTCAGATATACTTACAACACATCGGTATGACTCAACTGGCTAGTCTGCCACGGTTATGTTTGCTCACCTTCAAATTCAATTCCTGGGAACGCCTCATCAAGAGTGACGCCAGGAGATAAAACATGCGGGCCGAGGCTCGATTGCGGAATGCGACTACCATAGCCATTCTGAGCTGTCTTTTGCCTTTTTGTCATCACATCGTTTTGCGGATTCACCGCTTTGCAAAGGTGATAAGGAGATCAGTTGGCAAAATTCATGGAGTTTGGTACGAAATCAATGAGCCGGACCATTCATCTTACCTTCATAGTCACTTCTGTGGCCGACGAGGTTCGTCCCCCGAGTGCCAACGCCAGAGAAGTCTGGTTGATCTGGGGCCTGTTTATGTTCCAAGGGACGCTTCAGGTTGTGGGCACTGTAAAGATCTTCTGGGATGGAATAAAGATCGGAAGCAATCGAAGGAATTTCGCCAAGACCCTGGTGGCCCGGTTGAGCACATGCAAGGATGCATCTGAGAGCAAAATAAAATGCCACTGATCGTCGGATAAAGCAATATTGAGCAAAAGTATTTGAGGACATCTTTCTCACGTAGTGTTGAAGCCTCATTCACATTTGGGGAAATGCAGGCGGCCGCAATCGCGGCTTTGTAGAAATCTGAATCCCAGTGTCAGACTACTAACTTCGGATGGTAGTCAGCTTGGGCAGGGTGTTTGGATTCGAGTTGGACATCCCGAGGGTGTGCCTGTAACAGGCCTTGAGTCCATAGCACAAGCAACCGTTGTGGACTGTACTTTGCAAATATTGCTGCTCATATCAGCTATACAGATGTCTTGACAAGAAAAGAATCTTGTCAAGGGGAAAGATGTGAAATGAAGAAAAAAAAATAGAAAACAGAAAAATTGACCTTCTCTGATATTCCAAAGCCATGAAACCAGTCAGGCAGCAAAGTGGGGGGGATGAGAAGAAAGCTGACAAAAAGCAAAAATACCAAAGCTCTCACGTAGAACATACTTGCAAGAGACCCATGTGGGGAGTCGCCATCGACCTCTTGCATACTCACACATGCCAAACTTCCCTTATCACCCTTGATTTTGATGAATAACTAATACAGGATCATCACCTCAACGTCTTCTGATGTGTTGTTCTTTCTTTTGGGTCAAAGGCAGCCACCAGCCTAGAACATGACGACGAAGCTCTCACTCGTAAAATTTCCAGAGATTCAAAGATACCAAATTTGTAATGTAGATTAAGAAAGGAGCAATGATAAACCATAGGAACATTGCTCTCCAGGGCTGAAGCTTTCTACGTTTGACAAATCTTAGAGCACCAGTTTCAAACATCATGATGTCAAAGTAGTAGGAAGTTGATCGCATTATCGGCTCAAAAAAAAGATAATCATTTTTGAAATTTCGGCGTCGTTTTCGTGGGGGCGTGAAAGCAGGGAACGCAACCCTTGTTCAATGTTAGTTTACTTGAATACTTTGCCATCAGCGTACTCAAGCCCATCGAAACTATATAAAGCAAATTACAATTTTAATCAATCATGATGCTTAAAGCACAAATACATGTGGGACGAATAAACCGAACAGTACTGACGTGTTATCCCAGTTCCAGCATCCCTTGATGAAGTCAATATCTTTCTTGAAGTCAATGGGCTCGATCTCGTAGCTCTCCCAATCAGGCGCAACATCGAAGACAGCCTTGTAATCAGATCCTCGGATCATGTAGGCTCCTTGGATTTTTGAAGCGTTGGCTTTGCCATAGACACCGGCACTACATGGATTGGCAATGTTACTATGTCACATCAGAGCGAGATATCAGAAAGAGATGACTGACGATCCGAATAGGTACTTCCGGGAGGCTTCCAAACGACTGTGGAATCCACCAATCAAGTTAGCCGACATGAAAACCTGGGTCAACTCCTCGTTGTACTAATGGAGGAATATTCCGAGTTAGCTCAAAGCTGTATTTTGAGAAGCTCGATGATCATGACTAACTTTGTAGGTGACTTTCCAGAACGAGTATTCGGAGAGGTCGATGTGCTCCTCGAGCCATTTCATGGCAGCGGGGAATTCCGAGTTGGAATATTGTCGCTTCCACTCATCAAACGGAAAGCATTTGGCGGGGCCGAGAGCCTCACATGGGTGCTTGGCCTTTGGCTCGGCAGGGACCATTGGTTCCTCCTCCTCGTCGTCTTTCTTCTCTTTTTTCTTTTCGGATTTGGGAGCAGGAGCGGCCTTTTCTTTTTTAGGAGGGGTGAACTCAACCTTCGTCTCGGTCAAGGTAGGCTCACCACCAAGTACCTCGATAAAATTGGGTTGGTGCACAAGGGTGTTGAAGTGTCGGAGGACGTTCGGGTGGCAAGCTCTCCAGGACGCATCCAGACAAGTGGCAAAGGGGCGAACCAAGTGGTTGGCAAGGAAGATATCGGCCAAGGTGATTCGCTGCCCAACAAGGAAGGTGCGGCTAAGCAAGAGCTTCTCAATGGCATCAAGCATAGCGTTTGCTTTCTTCTCGGCAGCAGCAACATTGGCCTTGTTGTAAGGGCGGTTGGCGGGTGGGAGGAAGAGGAATCTGACAGATAAATCGCACAACACCACGGAGTTGAGCATAAATCCTAAGAAAGGGAGGGGAGAATGAGGTGAAAAAGTACACACTGTTCAGACAAAGCAGGGCAAAGCTCTGAGTTGAGGTAAACCATCCACTGAAGCACTTCGGCAGCTTCTTCCTTGGAGCTACCAAGCAAGTTGGCCTTGTTGGCGATGGAAGAGAGGTACTGTTGGCGAAATAAGTACAGATGCAGAATTTAATCAGTATTGAGAAGTTTAGGTTTGAAGCAATCAAGGATAACTTACATGGCAGATAGCCACGCACTCTGTGATGGATACACCTGCACCTTCTAATGCCGGGATTTTGCCTTGGGCGTGAGGGAATTTCTCAACATAAGGTTCAAATCCAGCGTCTTTCTCGTAGGGGTGGACCTTGCTAATCTTGAGGTCGACGCCTTCGTACTTGGCCTGGTAGAAAGGAAAATGGCAAAAGTCTTTAGCGACTCTGATCCGAAGGAGGCCCAAGAGGAAGATGGAAGGGTTACTTACGGTGATTTGGCACACCCGAGTACGGGTGTTTTGCTGATGGAAACCGATCGTTGAAGGATGGTAACAGAGTAAGGATCAGTTCATGGCAAGTCTCTTTCGGCAAAAGAGGAGTTCACGGAAGGTAAGCGGCAGTGCAGAAAGAGAAAGACGTCACGAACCTCGAAACCGTAGAGGGTGTAAGACATGACTTGCAGAGTGACTTGGACGCAAATAAACTGATCGAAATCAAAGGGAGAATCAATAGGTCAATCAATACAGTGTTATGGTGGTGTATAGAGAGTCCGATCGCTTCAAGGGTTCCTCACCAATCAATCAGTCAGAGGAAGCGTTGCGGTCGGAAGGAGGCAGATGGGTGGAGGTGGGAGAGCTGCCGGCGGAATTTTTTTTATAAGCTCCGGTTGCGCCGCAGCCTTGTGGGATGACGACCAACCTGTCCCTCGGGCTTTCACAGTGGGTTTCACACTGCTGCCACCACCCGGCATGAGCTTAAGCCCCATGAAGCCCCCAGTGAGACAGAGTAGTCACATGCCTGTCCCGGGTCATTCCGCCCCCTGAATACGTCAGGCGAATTCCGAAACGTCTTCCGGCACAACACTCAATCCATTCGACTGGACTTCTCCTTCAGCTTCGCCATACGTTTAGCAAAACCACTGACGCTGTCTGTCTCGAGCACATAATGGCATCCGCCAGCGTCGTCCGACTCGGTCGATTTCAGAAAGTGCGAAGATATCTGGTGAGTTGTTAAAGAATCGATAATGCCGAAGATCCAATCGAAGATCGACTGATCGATCAAATTACGTTCTCACTTGCAATCAAACATAACGAATCAAAAAGCAATATCAAGCCCACGAGAACCCTGCTATTTTTTGGTCGGTTGCCCTCGGAACTGCTGGTCAATCCTCTTACACTTTCTAATTTGAGTGAAATGTTATAGTACTCACTCGTCCGTTGCATCAATCTACAGGCCCCGTGCTACTGGCAACTGTTCCCCCGATTCGTCGCAATTACTTTGGTTATGTAACTCCTGAACCTATCCCGATGAGCTATCCGCGTAAGCTTGATTTGATGATATTATTTATACTTTTTTTTTTCTCACTTATCGGCCACCGCAATCAGGATCTTGTGAATAACTGAATAACCATATGTTTTGGTTCTTGATTTGACTGATTCTTATTCAGTCCCTCAGCGGAAAAGAAACCCAGACTTGAAAGGTTACGATGATTGAAAGTAATTCTGTAATTGTAATGAAATAAATCCTCTGGCTTGGACCACCCAACAATGGCACATCGACGTCCTACTTTTCTGTTCCTTCGAGAGGAGTCGCTCGATCTCATGAGGAATTGCCTCAAAGCAACAAAAACATGGAGAATATCAGATTACTTGCGACCCAACATGTGTCTCGTCCTTGGCCACCAAACAGATAGCTAGGGTCAGGAGCCAAATAACAGATTGTATTACAGTGTGGCTTCTAAACATTTGGCGTGATATGCCACTTGAATTATGGAACCAAGGCCCTGAAGGCACGCCCAATGGGCCAGCATGAGAAAAAACATATGTATACTAGGATTCCCTCCTATTTTTGTCTCGGACAGATTCTGTGCCTGGGATTTTCTGAGTATGCGCTGTTTGTTTGCAGGCCATATGAGTACACATACCAAGCTGGTCCAGCCGGATGCCGGCAAAGCGTTATGTGACAGGGTCGGCGCCCCGGATGTACGATTGGTCGGACGGATATGTGCAACCATTGCTCCGACCGCCTTGTCTAACTCCGATTAGCATTCTCTCATTGGACTCCTCAAGCTAAAAGGATTGAGTGACTTCTTCTGGCAACTTACATCTGTTCGCACCGTTTACAGATTGTAAGGCCCCAGTTTAGAGTTTCTATTTTTAAATCTTTGAGTTTGCTTGATGATGAGAATCAATTAACATCTGACCCCGAAACAAGCTTTCGAAAATCTGGATCAAGAAATGAGAAGTGGTGGGAAGTGCTCTGATGCAGCTGAGATCTGACATTGCAGATGTGATAGAAAGTTATTCACTATCAACTGTTGAAAAAGATCTCTCCAAAATTCACTTCTTCCTTGATCGGGGTATACATTGATAGTTATCCATAAACTGAGTATGTAAATGCCTCAATCCCTAATTACTGGGACCCTATAGGTGCATACATTTTGAACTTATATGGTAATTCAATTGGTATTGGGAAGTGCCTCAAAATTACCTCACAAAAGGTGATTGCCCCTATTTGTGTGGGCATTCTTCTGTCTACATATTAGGGCAGTTCACGTTGCACCAAATTCTTTGCTGGTCTTGAACAAGGTTTGTTTGCTGATGCACAAACTTCATGAACCTTAATTGTGGGATTTCGACTCCAAAGGGGAGCCTCCCACTAAACTCGTTTACTTTCCCATAAACCTTAAAACAGCTAGTCTAGCAAAGTTCGACTGCTGATGGTCAACATCAGCAGTAAGTGAACCCCCTTATTGTGTTTTGAAGAATGCTTGGACGGATTTGCAGGATCTGCACTCGAAAATCTTGGATTTTCATCATTTACATAGGTTTGAATTTTTATTTTATTTTTCCCTCTTAAAGCCATGATAACGTCATAGGCTGCCACAGCGGCCTCCATCACTATTGATTCACAATCCGGGTGGCCAGCTGCCTTCAATCCATTCCCCCAAACCATCAAAAACGATCAACCAATCGCATTGGCGTTGGCGGCTCAACGATTGGTTAGATGGCGCCGTTTGTTTGGATAAAAAATATCAGTCAGTATTTTTGGACCGCAAACTGCTCGGGACTGGTGTTTCTGATTGATTTTGCCTGGTCCTCTCAGCATGTAGGCGGGAAGATTGCTAGATACTGACTTTTTCCCCCTGTTTGCAAAAAAAAAATCATGCCAGTAATCCTGATCATGACCAAGGATTCTCTCTATCCTAAGGTCCAATCGGCCCTCCAACAAGTCACTGCCCGTAAAGGTTCGCTGATCGAGGTGATACCGGCTTGAGTCTTGACCGCCGCCGACTCCACTCGGATCTTGAGGGTCCCTCAAACGGTCAATTGCTTGCAAGGTCTCTTGACCATCATTCCTATGCAGTTGCTCAGCTACCACATCACTATGTATGCTCTCTCTCATCATCCCATCGTCTTGGAACTTACATCTTTGTCTCTATTCCTTTCTATCATCGCTTTCTAGCTTGAGAGGCGTTGACATCGACTTCCTTGAGATTCTTCTTTCTTCATGTTCTATATGAAACTAAGTTTTTGGCATCGTCTAACTTGAATTGGATTTCATCTCCTTTGAACTCCCCCCCCCCCTATACACTTGATATGTTATCGGCCCAAAACTTGGCCAAGAGTGTCACAGTTGAACAGTCAATCATAGTAAAAGAAAGATGACTACTAACCTAAAAATGGTTCAGGTCAAGTAGATCAAAAAGAACATTGGGAGTTTCCTCCCTTTTTTGTATTGGGGAACTTGAGAAGTTAGATTGTTATCATGTTCAGTGTGCAGAAACCTTGGAGTTTCCATCAGTGAGATGCGACCCAGTTCAATAGAGACTGATCTCAAGTCAGAATCAGTCGGTAGAGGAACCCTCAATCCAGAATTGATACGTATCTGCAGCTCCAAATTGGAGACTGGTCAGTAAGCTCTTGGATTAAAGGTCCATGTAAGCTCATCAAATTGTTGTCAATCTCATCCAGATCGTTAAAATATTGAACTAGAGCCTCACTCCGAAGAGTGGCAAAAAGTCAAACCGGTGGTCAATTTGGATCTGATTCAAATTCTTGTTCATCACAAGATTGTTTAGAGAATAATTTATGGACTAATTTCTCATTATGATCGTTTGTTCATTCAAGGATAAGAGAAGTAATAACATTCAAATCATGAAGGAGCTGCAGATAAACAACAAATTTGGGTACAAAACCAACACCAATCAGTTGACCCATGGTTATTTGATGTGTTTGTAAAAGATCGCTGAGGAGATAACACATAACAATCCAGAGAAATGACCAAGTGCTGAAAAAACAAGATGTGATTTGGATGTCAATAAGAAGAAACCGGTGGTAGGAAAACAAAGATGATAAAGTCATGAAAATTGTTTAGTTTGATGGGGAACAGGACTCACAGTGCCTGTAAGCCTTTTAGCAAAGATCAACCATCACAACATGAGTGATCGTTTGTCCAATTGCCAATTCTGGGTTGCCGGTCTGATGTAATACTTGCAAGGCCTGCACGTGTTGTTGAGATGCTACAAAGCTGAGTTTGATTGTTCCATGAGAACATATTAGCTCTCTTTGCATGACAAAACGACTACAGAGAAATAAAGAGATCAACTTTTGGATGTCGGAAAACCGCGGAGTCCTTCAATCGCCATTTGGATTGCGCGAGCCTTGGTGGATGCATCGTACAATTCAAAAATTGTCTAGTGATGTTTTGGTTGGGATAGATGCCAGGATGATGGGGGGGGGGTCGGTATTGGTGGGTCGTCGATGTTGGTATCTGCTTGATCACAGCCAGGTGAATCAAACCAGAGCTGTGTGGCAAAAACCAGCAGCTGAAACTGCTGCACAGCAGCATAACAACATAACTTTAGTTCTTGGAAAACTTCGGTTTGTCCAAGCTTTGTTCAAAACACAATATCAAATGGATTACAAGACTGGCCAGACACACTGTTCCTTTGGGACTCCAAATTTGAAAGTTGTTGAGAAATTCTTCCACAACGGTTTCAATTACAATCAACGGCAGCCTTCAGTACAAAGGTCAAGAGATGAAATGAGACACAGGTATGAAGCATGGGAACGTCAAACAAACAAACATGGTAAATTAACAGCCACTAAAACCATTGGGAGACATCCTGGATGTGGTAGGAACTATCAGAAAGTTTGAAACCAAGAATTCTAGAAGTTTTCCTAAATCAGGGGGTTGGGTAGTATATCTCATGAGTCACTGGTCTGGGAACATTTATTTTGGAGGTTATATGGGAACAGAGTAGCTTGTTCATGATTTTCAGATGATAATCAGGATGATCATCATTTGGAATTGGAACACCTCTCTCCAAGGCTCTCTCTTCATAGAAATATCCTAATAAAGTGAGTGCAGTTTTGCTACAAAAATCTTGTGTAAAAATTCCTGATGATGTCAATTGTTTTGATAAATACCTTTGGGCACTAGTAAACAGTTTTTCAGGTGGTTGGTTGGGAATTGAGGGCATCTCAATAATTCCAAAAAGCGGTAAGCTATTCACAGTATTATCAAATAGAATGCTCTGAAACCATTGGATTAAATCCTGGGGAGTGATTCCAGTTTTTCCCCCCAAAATCTGTTCATCAAGTTCATCCAAACTAATAATGCTGGGTAAAATAGCTAACGGTATCAAGATTTGGTTGATTCTACGTGAAAAAATGTCAATTTTGTGTGCTCTTTTTCTTTTCAAATCCTTGCGCATAATCAAGCCAATGGCAACTTCCTTGTTTTTCGATGTGAATCTGCCTTGTACCAATGGAATCATGTAGATTGGCAAGTCCATTAGCCTATTCTTTTTCTCGGCTTCTGCTAGATTCCAAATTGATGGAATACCCATATGAACCAGTTTCCAAATTTCTTCAATGTTTCCTGCTCTTGGAATTTTTTTCCTGTGAACACTGATTAAGGTGAAAAGTTGAGTCCAATTGAAACTGTTTTCCCCTTCCACCTTGGTAGCAAATCCATCATCATCATTGTGATTGCTAAACACACTTGTATGTTGAACTTTTTTAAACTGTATCTTGGTTTCACCTAGTTCAGCCATCAAGTCCCAGTAGTTATCCAAGTGATCTTGGTAATCTGGTTTTTCAAGTGCCAAACCAGATGCTTTGTACCAAATTTGCAATAATGAAAGTGCTACATCATACACTTGGTGGTTTTGTGCATCTTTGCAATCAAGAATTACAGAATGCATCACCTTATTTATGCTTCTGTGTAATTCATTAGCTTCTGATCCTGTTGGAACACTGAGTGGGAGGTAATTATCAGTTCTTTTGAATAAAATGTCCCAAAACCATTCCATCAAGTCTCCATGAGTATTAACTAATTGAACATGAAGAAGTTTGACATCTATCTCATTCAGACTGGCCAATTCATTAAAATATTGCAATGCTTCAATAATTCTTGCAATCACATTTTTGATACCCTCCCATCCTTGAGGACTTTCTAATTCCAATCCTTCCTGATTTCTCATTACAATTGGATCAATCGCAGAGCTGTGATATTCTTGAAAATCTGGGATAAGATCAATTAGTACACCACTCAAGTAGATGCTATAATAACACTTCGCATCTTGCTTGAACCTGTACTGCTCCACTTTTCTTTCAAAATTCATCTTGATCTTGTAGAGAGTCTCTGACTTAGCCCCATACGTTGTGAGGGCCTTGTTTGCCAAACCATAGAGGGATTTACTTTTTTGAGTTGAACTGAATCTGATTATTTCAAGTTCCTCATTCCCTACATTGTAGGTGGGTTTGGGCTTAGGCAGTTCATGCCTTCTATTCCCATGACTCAACATCTCAGGGTGAGTTCCAGAAACTCCTTGCTGGTTGGTTATGTCTTGTGGTTCTTTCATCCTTTGGGTTTGTCTCTGGGCATCCATTTTATCGGGCGGAGCATACTGTACATTGTTTGCTATTCCCCAACCGATTTGTTCATATTCAGTTCAACTCCATGGGATGGAATTAAAGAAACTGCTTTCAATACTGACTGACCTTCAAACTCGGATGGATCGGCATTGTCAATGGTAATCGGGGTCACCGCGCCGTGTTCTAGCCCATTGATTGCAGGAAACTCCGTCATGATTGTTTCCCACCATTCACCTTCCAGTCCTAGACCGGCGTGAACAGATCAATCAGCGCGCAAACCTATGGTCCACCAGAAATCTCATTAAGCCAAATGGAAAAATCACTCCGCTTACCTTCTGGATCAAAGTTGTAGAAATCGGTTAGCCCCGTTTTATCTGAAGAATCGCTGGGAGTTGTCTTTCTCCTTTTGCCATTCGGCTGAATCTCTGAAGCATTAATATCTTTGATGAGGTTCAAATTGCACTCTGAACTACTATGCTCAGAAGGACTGATTGTCTGTACTTTCGATCCTGCATGGATGCCTATGGGCAGTGAGGTACCCGACAGCTTGAACAGGCAAACCAGCAAAACCAAATGAGGTAAAGGCAAACTAAAGCGATGAGTTAAAAGCATCATGCTGCTTGTTTGAATCCTGTGCCCTTGGTTGAAGGATTTCCAGTTGTCCGGCGGCGGAAGTATTTCCGGACTGCCTGCTGGAGCGCACTATGTGGGGCACACTGCAGTAACATATAAATATGTAATCAAACTTGTTCCAGCAGGTAAATTGTACGTGTTACGTTGTAGTCAGCAACTGCCAGCAATCATTCTTTAATCGATACGCGTATCATTCAGAAAAATGATCCTCTCTCCAATGTTTCAAATATGAAATCCAGTCAACCCTCATGGCTCACTTCAAAGTAGAGCAGGCAAGCTACGCCGAAACGATTCCGAGCCTAACAAATGCCCTAGTGGAGCCCAGCACCGCAGGGACTGTCTCGCAGAGGCTGCGGTCGGCGAAATGTGAGAAGGGCGAGGGCAATCGTGTGCCACCACACAGTAGGGGATGAGGACCTGTGTTGAGTATGACGCCAATCTCCCATTCAACTAACTTAACAAAGGAGCTCCTGAACTCGAAGGGGAGACCCCGTCACCGAGCTTTTCGCTTTCTGACAAAAAAACACCCTTTCATTCTAACAACTGCTGCATGACTTGTGCTACCGGTGTTTCCCCGTTCCAGGAGCCCAGTCCCAGAGCCATCATCATGATCGGATTCGGAAGAATACGCATACATGCACGAATAGCATGCACTACGTCAAAAATGAGTTGCATTTCAGAGGGACCTCATCCGGTGTAGTGCCGGCTTGGTGCCGCCCTTCTTGAGCCTTTTCGAGATTTTCAACCCTAGTTAAGCGTGTCCTCGAGCACGCTTCATTAACAAAAAAAAAGCTTCATGGAATCATGACGCGTCCTGCTTCCCGGAAATTTCTGTTGCTGGAGTGTAGCTGTCAAATATTCTCCGCACGCAATTAATGCACCGAACTTTTTTCTGCCTAAATGATGATACATATTTCTTCTGATGTTGATAGATAGATATACATAAATTCACGTATCTTGAATCTGAACCTGGGTGACTTGTAAGTTGTATGCAGTGTGCAGCGCCCAGTTGAAACATGTCATCGTCCATATCCGACTGCAGCTGCCCGGCTATTTGTGAGCTATCTATGTTGCAAGCTGGTTACATGCTGGTCTAGTGGGCATCAGATCATTTGGATCCTTGCTCAATTTCTTTCTTTCTTAGTTACCTACTACAACAACAACTGCTTGACAACTCGAAACACCTGACTTGAAATACATACTAGCTTGAAATCCAGTCAGCTTCTGCTTCACACCACGACTCCCCAGGCTAGTAAACAGTCTGTGTTCAATCCCTGCTGGACATTCACCTTACAATATCTTGCATGCATGACATTCGAAAACATTCCCAACATACATGCATCGTTGTTTACCGCCCGGTTGGAATTAAATACAGCAGAGCGATCCGGATAATGCACACGCGCCGACAACGCCGACTTGGTGGTATGTATGCAATGGATCTGTTTCTTGGATGGGAAAGAGATGCGAAAGACTTGAGTTTAAACTATTAAAGTGAGCGAACATTGCTGTCAAGAGTGCCGGGCTCATTCAGCCTTTTTCTCAGAGTCGTTCGCGTTACGTACACACATCTTTCTAACTTGTGACTGAGGAGTGCATCGGCGTGTTAATTTCGCGTCGTTCAAGTTCCTACAACATACCCTCTTTAATCTGCAGCACGCCTTCTGCCTCTGTTGGTTCCTCGGTTCGCGCCTTATTGTGCATGGTTGCCCGACCCACTGATCATCAGTGGTCTTGCTTCATGTTCCCCGGAGCACTTGGTCATCATATGTCGTCCTTCTGCCCTTCATTTCCAACTCGATACATACATACACTCTGAACTCAAGATAGCAATTATAGGGAGACCCTGAAGCTGAAGTAGATCACTCCGATATATATTTACCCTTATCCACATCTATTGTTGGTTATATATCAATTGATGAACATCATCCCTGGTAATATCCAAGCAGGGTCTCCATCAGCTCCAAATCCTCTGCCGACATATTTATTACAATATATCCTTTCAAGATCACACATAGCCTGACTGCGTTTAGACCAAAACCCCAAGTTGAACTGAGCACTACATCTCGTTGAACGGTTTACCCTGGCAACTGCAGCTATCCTCGACCAACAGCCAGCCAGCCGATTCGTCCAGTCCATTCTTCTTCCGGATCCATTATTTGTGAGCCGAATGCAGATGATGATGGACGCTAGTTGCCTGGAACTTCCGGCTGGCAAGGCGTCGCCAACAGCGACTCCGAAACCAGCATCATTTTCCACAGTGCCTGAACTGGATCATCATCCCTCTCAGTCTTCCCCAACCAATCCCAAGCGCCCATTCGGTCTTCGGCCATCAGCCGGATTAGCTTCTTCCACATCTTCTGCGCCCACCACTAATCTATGGAGTTTCTCCAAAACATCATCGTTCTCGTCTACTGCCTCTAAATTCAAGCCTTTCTCAAAGTATCGGACTCGCAGGTTATCGGACGACTCTCTGACTGATCTTTCTCCTCCAACTCACTCCGACCTCGATCAGATTTCACCCCATTGGAATGTGGCCTTAGATCAGACAGAACACACAGAACCAGCCTCACCTCTGAGAAGTCACCGGAGCTCCGCAATATTCCTGGGCAATTCTAAGCCGCCTTCTGTGCCAAACAAGCCGTCTAAAGACAATTCTTCAGCTGGCAACATGAATTTATTCAAAAGCCACGGAAGTCAACCCTCCTTCTCCTCACGCTTACGCCTATTGTCCAAGACTTCATCGGAGAAGCAAACCCCAGAAAAAAACAAAAATTTATCCAAGTATGTGCTATTGATATTCATTGCACACAATTTTCTTCATGAGTTGCTCGAAGCTGCATCTATCATACAACTGACGGATGTATCCACCATTCTTATAGAACCCAACCAGAGCCATCCCCAAGCCGCTCTCTCAAGCCAGCTGTACTCAAATCATTCCAGACTAAAGCGGCCAAAGCAGAATTGGAGCCAAGCAATTCTCCAGACTCGGAGGAAGTTGAAGCCATCCAGGTAAACTAATGATTCAATTCCAAGTGGATAACTCACGTGAACTTGTCGATACTGATCAACATCTGGTTGTTTTTCTGCACCAGTCGCCACCGTGCGATCTTCGCATAGTAGCCAATCCAAACTATCCCCCCAGGTCTTGTAGCATTGTAAGATATAAATATGCCAATTTCTAACTTCTTCGCTTACCTACAAGAGTTCAGCTTGCTCATGGGCTTTCCTTTTCCTCGAAATGTGTTCAGGTTGATCAACCCCTAGTCAATGCCTCGTTTCATGAGCTCAGTCGGTGCTCCTCTTCTCCCAACCTCAATTTGCCAAACACTTTTTCGCAGCGCCTATCGGGAGAGCTTGCACGCAACAACGCTCCCGTCAACGTTACCGGCAGTCCCAAGAGGAGTCATGCCCCGCCTCCGATTAAAGTTCCCAAGCTGCGCGCGAGTACCATTGCAATAGCAGTGGGGAGTGACTCATCACCGATTGGGGTTTGCTCTAAGCCTACTTCTCGCCATACCCACTCCAGGTCAGAGTCTGGCAACCACTTTGTTCGGCGTCTCGCGAGCCTCGAATGGCATGGTCATGCTAAAAAGTCGCCTGCGCCAGAAGCATATCTTGATTCCAACAAGAAGTCAGCGCAAGAAGTACAACTGGAGCAGAAAACTTATAACCCCATTCAAGATAATTTGAGCGTCGATACGTTGGATGAGCTAACCTCTTCAGCTAGTCCCCGAAGTGGCGTGATTTCGATTTCCAACTCTTCAAAAGTTATCAAAGACAAGGCACCCGATGTGATGCCCTTGCAACCCGCTCCTCGTCGCTTGTCTGGCTATGCCAATCACTCCAGCACTGACTCCAAAGGGCCAACAATGCCATTGTTGATATCCAAGCATTCACGCGCCATTGGTAGCACGACTTACACCATGTCCCAGCACCGGCTTCGCTCGAGGTGCTCGGAAAGCGCCACACTCGACCTTACTGTCATTCAATCTTCGAACACCAAACGCACGCGAACGTCGAGCAAAATCTCGCCTCACCCACGATACCCCGAGACTCCTAAACAATCCTCGACCAGCTTTCTTTCACGTTCATCTTGGAGCCCTATCCATGAGTCAACCGAGAAGCAAAAGGTTTTACCAGCCCCCCAAAATCTTTTACCGGACTCTATTCCTTTCCCGACATCTGACTGGTCGGATCAGCGAGACCCTTCGCCGCTTCAAGATCCAGCCGCTTCCCCTTGTAATGAAAACGATTGCCGTGAGCGCCCTCAGGACATGGTGGATCAAGATTGTCATTCCCAACAGGGCCCAACTTCCCCGACGGAAACGCAAGTCAGAATCTCCGGTAAGAAGGAGAAAAGCCGGCGCGCCCCATCATTTGACATCCGCAATTTTCCATTGCATCTTGACACTTCTCAGCGACCGGACTCTCTTCCGGCTATTGCCATCCCTCAACCAATCAAAATCCCGCAATTTGTGTGTGGCGGCCTCCCTGCCTTGCCTATTCCGGGTGCTGAGTACAACATCGAAAGCTACCACAAATCTTCATTGCCATCATCCACGTGCGCCGTTCGCCCGGAGTCAAGTGACTTAAGCTCACTGAGATCCGTTGTATCTAATGGATCATCTGCCGAAGCGTGGAGGACTATGAATCGTATATTCACACCATCAAGTACTCCACAATCCAATCGCTCAAGTGATTTTGCTTCCAGAGTGACCTCGCACAAAGTGGCCCCTGCCTCTCAATCCGATTTCGAGAACATCACTCGAAGCATAAGTGTCGATGATTTTTATCTCAATATCAACACTAATGCACTTTTAGACTTATCGAGAAGAGAAGTCAAGAAAGTATCACGTCCTCGGTCCATGTCTGATCGCGGACCAAGCCGGTATGAGATCCTGACAGAGTTATTAGGACACTCCAAAAACCCGATTGATAGTCAAAGGAATTCACCTTACACCACCGACCACCCTCTACCACATTACACTCAAGCTAATTCCCCTCAATCTACTCAGTGGCACACCGCATCAATTGCGCAAAAAATCCGCGAAAGTACTTCATCAGAGCTCGACAAGGTCGTCACTGAAGCACTCAAAATTTACCATTCGGATTCCCATCGTTTCATTGTAGGGGATATCAAGGAGTTTATTCGAGAAGGAAGAGAATCTGAGAACAAGGCCGCTGAATTGCAACGTAAGCTCTCTTATCTTCATTTGTTCTTTTTTTTCCCCGACTGATATATGGATCTGTCTCTTTCAGGGAAACTTCTTGTTGATACACACGCTAGGGAAAAACTTCTTCAGCGGCACATCATGACCTTACACGCCTTCAATGGTGACAAAGGTGCCCGGTTCGGGGAATCTCTGTTGAAATCGGTAACGAACACTGACCAGCTAGCAGCCGAACTATTTGGCTTGATTGCTCGCACGTCCAAGGCTGATCGGATGTGCGAGGCTCACTGGCGAGCTGCAGCCACCGTCCAGATGAACAACCTGGCGATGAAAGAGGCCCAACTCGAAGCTGCACAATCTCGTATTGAGCAGCTCGAATCCGACCGCGCTCGGCATGTCAAGCAGATTTCAGACTTACAAGCCAAGATTGATGCCCTACATGATCAAGCACGACCTAGTTCAAGGGCCACGGATTCGGATTCGGTTTGCTCAGGGCCCATCCCCAGTATCCGCAAGACTTCGAAAAGTAGCCAAGAACTGTTTCGGGATGGGATCACGTCTGACTCGCCCTCCTCTACCCCGCGGATTAGCCATTTTCCAACCCATGGCCCCCAACAGCTCCCTCACGCCAATCTTGTCCAAAGCAGGGTACGATTCAACTCAGCCCATAGCTTCAGTTCCTCTCACAGTTGGAACGCTCCCTTTGAGAGCGGTTTTAACGAAGGAGGCTGTCCTTCTGCCTTATTGCCGGAACCAGTCTCCCCTCGTACAGCTTTCCTATCGCCCTACGGTTTGGCTCATAACCAACCAGCTTCGCATGAACGTTCAGAGTCCTTCTCCTTGTCATTAAACAGAAGCGATGTGGGCCCCATGTCACCGCGCAAAACTCACAAGCCGAGCTTCTCCAATGCATCTTTGACCGCCCTTCCCAATTCGGTTTCTAATTACCAACGCTCCGAGAGTCTTGGCCCGAAGAAAAAGGCACAAACGACAGGCTTGATTTCTAGGAATATTCTAACACACAACAATTCAATTAAACAGAAAGGACCTATCAACAGCATTCATCTCAAGTCCAATCGCTCCAGTTCACTCAATTCTTCTGATCTGAAAATTGAGGTTGTAGATTCGAATATGCATGGCTCTCAGGATGCCAAGCCTCGCTCGACTTCGAACACTTTTCTGCCTCATCTGAAGAGTGGCCCAAGTGTTTCTGCCACTGAATCATCCTCTGTCGATGGCTCGAATGATTTTCAGCCGCCAAACACGGCTTCACGAGGGCCTTCGTCTTCCAGCTTACTTCGTTTTCCAAGGCAAGCAGCCCCGGCTCCAAAGTTACCGCTACCGTATGAATCACATCCGCGTCGACGGGGCAAATGGTCTCCGGTGAGCCCAACACAGGGTAACTTGAGTTCAATCACCTTGTCTCAATTGGGATCAATCGATATCGCAAATCTATTGAGTAATATCGAATCTTCTAGTCAGTAATCAACCTTCAACGGATTTGTGATTTTTCTGCATCTGAAACCTTCACTTCAAACTATCCCATGATACCATTCCATTACATTCGTCCCCGTGTATTAATTTTTTCCAAACAAAACAAAGTCAAACAGTTTTTTATCAATTCGGACTTTCCTTTCCTTCTCAGTTGTCATTTCAATCAAAATTAACCTGTCAACTTTGTCAATATTCAAACGCTCTTTATCATTATCCCTTCATTTTCCCCCGAATTTATCTGGATCATTCTTTTTTGGGTAATGCTCTCATTGCTGTAATTTTGTCTTTCTCGGTTTAGATTTCCATACTACGGTAAATTATCAAGTGCTCACATTCACTGACACATCTCACACTTAGTCTCGAAGAAATTGTCGTTTACATACTACTCACATATTGTACTCTTAGAACTACCAAGATGATATCCTTAACTCATGTCATTCTCTTGCAAATTACCCATACATTGAAAATTTTATTCACATGCCCTCCTTGCGGAGCAACACAGAGTGATAGCTTAAACTGAGGATTATTGGTTGTATCACAAAATGCTCTAAATAGATTTGATGGTCTGGCCAACAGTCACAATTTTCCTTTTCCTTCAGCTCTCATATCTAATGACCTCCAGGATTGAGTCACCCCTTGTGAGTTTTACAAGTGGATTGTTCACCACATCGACATACACACTAAACAAAAATGTCTCTTTGGGTCACATATTTATTTTTTTTATTGCACATTTGGATATTGGATTAACTCAGAGCATGTTCATCAAATGACATCCCTGTTTACATTTGGGGATCACACATAGTCCGACCATGGTGTGGAAAAGATTAAAAGATGATGCGGTTTGATGATTACCGGGATAGTGTCTGTGATGGAAAAAAGGATTGTCCTGTTAAGCTGTTTGCTCGACCGATAAACAGTGAAAGTCTGGGGCCCATTCGCCTTCTCCCCGAACAAGGATTGTGTTTTCGCCGGGCTACAAGATTGATCACAATGGTTGGGAATCAGAGATCTGCAGAGAGCTCAAAGGATGTTCGTCTTCTTGTTGCTTCGCACCACTTACATGTAGGGGAAGTGAGACGAGAAATCCTTCAGCCATATTCTCCCAAGTCTGTAACATGGATGTGAAGCCGATAAAAAAAAATCAGTGCCAGTCCCACAAAGATCATCAGGATACTTCTCGCTTTCGAAAGGAATACACTGACCAATCCAGTTATGGGGAAATCTACAAAAAATGGATGGTCGAAGTCGTCATTTATGATAATAGCTGTGTGCTTGAAGTTCAATTTGGAATCATCCATGTTTCCAGCTGACAGCTGAGCATTGATGTAATCAAAGCTAACTAAAGTATTCCCGTTTTTTGCACCGGGTATGTTCTTCCAGCGCACTCCAGTCTTCCCATCAGGCTTGAGATTAGCTGCTACCTTGATACCACGCGATGTATCTTTCATTACCGCCGAACCCGTTATCTCAGCCATTTCAACTGGGAAGCGCTTGAAATTGCGCTGGGGAGCCGGTTTGGTCTCAGTTAACTTTAGGAACAAGCTCCCGTGTTTCTCAATTGTGGTGGAATAACTGGCATCAAAGTTGAAGACACACGTTTGGAATAAGGTCAACCAATGAGAAGTTTTTGATTGCTCAACTTGCAGAACTTACCTATCTTTGAAGAATCCGAGATCGTTTCCAGTTAGTACCTCATACATGTGTGCAGATGAAAAACCCAAATCTGCGAGCTGAATTGTTTTTTGTGGATCGTCATCTGACCAGTTAATGATGACTGCAATACAACAATTACATTAACCCAGTTCTACCAGTTACCTTGCACTGCATCTGCAAGGAGCTAACAGTTAGAATTACAGCGGCAAATCGACTCTTACCTGCAACTGTACTACCATCACTTAAAGGTCCACTCCAGATATCCATATCACCAGAGTATCGGTGCTTTAGGGTGATACTTTGGCCGAGGTCGTCTTGCTGTAAAAAAAAGAGAAGATATTTCAAATTTCATGCCCATATTTTCAGTAAGAATTTCCCCCTCCATTAGGTTATCGGGGCTAGAAGTTTGCTCACATTGATGGCGATTGCCCTTGGGTTTGTTAAAAGCGCAATCTCCTCCTGACGGAGGCGGGATATATCAGTTGAAAAGATTAGGGGAGATCTGGGAGGTTTAGAAAAGCATTGAAAATGTCTTCAGCAGAGGTCAAATTCCCGTTTGGATCATTAACATTCAAAGGAAAAAGAAATCACTTTGCTGCAGCCCAAAATGAAAACTGAGTTATCTTCTCAGCCATTGTGAGTTTGTTTTCCCCTAGTTGGAGAAATCCAAGGTCGTTGTATGGGCCCTTGGTATCCAAGGTATACGGGAAGACTGCATTCAATGTTCTGATACTGTTTAGCGTCAAAAGAGCAGAGTCAGCTGAATATGGTAGATCCTGGGAGTTTTCTTTTCTTTTTTTTCTTACAAAGAATTCCAGTTATCTAAGGTGTCATCAGCTACTCTCCAACTATTAGCTGTGGTCTGGTAGGCTGATGGTGAAGCACCCCACTGTCCAGTGCTATATAGTTTGGTTTGAGTGGGTTAGTAAAATGAACAAATGTATGTCTCAAATCATCAATCAGCTTTGAACTCACGCATAGAACATTTTGTTCTGCAAAGCCGTATTCTTTATTGCGCCTTCCATTTCAACATAGCGTGACTGATATTTTATCATCAATTAAATTTGCGGTTCAATTTGTGAAGCTTCCTAGAATTGGACATACATTCACTATCGAGGCTAGGTTGGAGTATTGCACCACATCAGGAAATACCCAGTCACATCTGTGGCAGTCATGGATCTAAAGATTAGCACCCTTCCAAGTTTCAGACTCCCTGTAAATTTATCAAGACTTACGGCCTGTGGGATAGATAAGTTACACCCCAATCAGCCAAAGAATAGACATATCTGTCCAGATCTGCTAAAGGATGGACATAAAACATTTCATCTTTGGTTCGGGGGCATAGTTGAGGTCTACAGATTTTTTTGTGGTTTTGAAAGATGTGTGAATTCCTTTTAATTCCAACTTATCCTTGAGAAAACAAAAATTGCAGCGGAATCAAAAGCTAACCCTCCCCATGTACCAACACCAATATGAAGATCCCTCTTCCTGAAGTCCTCACGGAAAGCATATGGGTCGGTTCCAACAATGGCACTTTGGATCTGTTTTTCAAAGGGGATTTGTTATTAACATTCCAACTTAATCTTTTTCTTACAAAAACTACAGTACAGACACTTACCAGTAGCTCGGGTTTACCCTTGGGATCAACTTCCCATCCACATTCAATTATGAAATTTTTGTATCCAGCTTTAATGAACCCCTTCTCAGCCATTAAGTCTGCTTGCCACTTCAAGTTTTTGTCATTGACATCCTTTCCACAACCGAAAGGCCAGAAAGAGTTCCATCCCAAAACCGCTAAGATCAAATAGAACTTGTCAGCCTCAGTAATGTTTTGAATTTCGTAGCATGTTCACTTACGCTTAGGCCTAGCAACTGGGGCTGGGTTACGTGTCACCAGTTTGGTTGGGGTTTGAGCTGTAAATCCAATAGTTGCAATAGCAAGGATTGCGATACTCATCCATTGAAATCGATGAGGCTGGCGATAATGATTACACCAGCTGTTCATTTTTAATGAGATATCCATCTATCTATTATGCGCGGTTTATGAGACAAATTATGACTCCCTTTATATGTAGAGTTTGTCCTTAAATCAATATTGATGTGTAAAAAGAGTGAAAGTATGATGTGGAAAATTCAAGTAGATTCAATGTGTTACTTGATGAAAATTGTCTGTGAATCTAGGTTGCAAATCAGAAAACAGTCGTTTGAGATCAGAAAAGAGTGAAGAAGTCAGTGAAATGTCCGGGAGGATTGTGGGAACCCAAAATGCTTGGAAACTCGTGGCGGCAAGGGTTTTGTCAACCGAGGTTATCAATCAAGAAAGATGGTGGTAACGAAAGTGTGATGTGTGATGACTGTGGTGGTAAGGAATGACCGATCAATAAGAACAGAAAAAAAATAGTACTATGTGGGTAACGGGAAAGCCAGCGCGACTCTGGAAGCAATCAGACAAGCTGTTTATACTCATACGAATGGGCTTAATCATGAACCACTGAACGCACTCGGAATCAATGGCAGGGTGTCCGAGCCGACTTGCCGTTGCTTGGTTTTTCTTGAGACAACCCAGGGGTTCACGAAGCATCTCCCCATGAGGTGAGGTTTTACATATTAAGGAAAATCGGCTTGATCAAACAGCACACACCGGGTGGCTCGGTATCCGAGCCGGCCTGGCTGCTTGGATCGTGCTGGGACAGGGAGACTCCTGTTCGGGTGCTTGACTACATGCCCAGGAGAGGTGCCGTCTTGGTGAGACCAATGTCTCAAATTTCTCCGTCGAACAGTTGATCCTCTTATCAGCCCTGGAGAGCTGTTTCCGAGGGTCCCTGTCGCTGCGAGAAGCTGTTTGTTGGTCAAACTCTTGAGGTGTCTCATCAAAGACCACACCCCCAACGGCTCGGGATCCATGCCGTCTGGCAGCTGGGATTGTGTGGAGAGGGCTCTACAGATGGCATCTGACCAGGAGTTGAGTGTGCTTCATCACATACCGCACTCCGAATCGCTTAGCCTCTCAGCCAATGGAAAGGGTGAGATCGTGTTAAGATAATCAAGTGAAGGAGTTAGCCAAAAAACTCGCTTGTGCTTGACTACACCAGCAACCCTCTTGTTAGATCTTCTTCCGCAGGCTGAGATGAATATTAAGGTAGCTGGAGGCTTGGCCCCCCCCCCCTCATGAATGAGGCACGAACAAGAAAACAAGGGCTACAATTTCCAATAATCACTCTCTCCTCATCTTTTCCTCCCCTGTTTTTGGTTATTCTCACACGAGATTGCCACACAGGAACACCTGTGCGGCGTAAGAGATAGATAGCAGTAGCACGATGTCGAAACTGGTCAAGAAACCATGTTTCCTGAGTATGAGTTTCTGGAGACAGTGATCCCTAGCACCATCTGCTTGCCCTAAAGAACTCAACATCCAACCGATCTCGTCCTGCAACCTTATATAAGATGAGCTCAAAAAAAAAAACACATACATACATAGATACAGTTTTAATGATGCCAAGGTTGTAAAATCCGTTTACAAATCTAAAATGTTCTTTGAAGGTCATGTTTTTTACAATTGATTCAAGACACGTAAGTTGGTGGATCGTCACCCACCTCCAGGTGAACAGGCAATTATTCGTATTCCTATATGTTGCTGAAGAGCCAAATCATCAGAAGTGACAAAGTTGTAGAATCCAAGAGGAAGAAAAAGAGGAAGGATTAAGATTGGATCCATAGGGGGACGACGGCCTTGAGGAACTTCATGAACTTGAAGATGCCGACAGCATGCTCCACGTTTCCAAGGGGATCAACAGTGCGTTGGGGGAAGGCGATGCCGCAGCCAAACAGGCCGTTGAGCTGGTCAAAACGCCCAGTGGAATGGTCGAATTTCAAGCTCTGCTCGAGCCCATCGAGGGTCACTGTTGGAGTCGGGGCGGGCCGATAGCCGATTGCATAAATCACCCCCGAGCAAGATGCGAGGCTTTCGAGATGGCGAGAAAGAGCTCCTGGCGAGTCTTCGATTTGGGTCCTCGAGATCCTGCGGTCGGCGACCAAGCTCGGATACTCCTCCTTGGCCCAATCAGCTACAACACCTTTCAAGCCCGTGTTATCATACAATATCCATCCATCCTTCTGCTCGGCAAATATGAGCTTGGGGTTTCTATAGAGATGCACAATCCTCAGCTGGCTCGAAAGGCTGATCAGGTTCCTCAAGACCAGGAATGCTGAATGCGAGGATCCGACGACGGCAATCGTTTGCTTTTCGAGATCGATCCCTTCCAGTGCAGCTTCAAGTTGAGAGGGTGAAAGGGCAACTTCCAAGTCTATCGGAGGCACGGCCTTCTCCTTCGGTTGCACTGGTTCTGATCCTGTCGCGAAGATGACCTTTCTAGACTTGAGAGTTTTGGCTTGATGACCGCATCTAGAATCCATCATCTCAATCTCAACCATCCAGTCGGTTCGATTAACGAAATCTAAAGACTTTGCACGTGCTTGGAATGTGTCGACTTGATCGGAATGGGCTGATACCAGTCGTCTGGTTAACATGATCATCAAGTCCGCTGCGTAGCTCAGCTGATTCCCTCGATCTAGCTCCAGATTCTCTAAAGCAGTGTATGCGTTGGATGGATCCGTCGCTTCTTGAACCAGCTGGGAAAACGTTGGACTAGCGGCCACATAATCAAGAAACAACTGGATCTTCGTATTGCTAAAAGTGGGCAAAAAAAAGGAAAGAAGCCCAACGAATCCCTCTGATTATGAATAAGAGAAAAAAAAAATCAAACGGGCTGATATTATGAGTGCGAACCTTGGTATTTCTCTATACTTCTCACCCATCCTTCCTCCAGAAAATGACAGATCGATCCAGGCTATCCGAGAGACGCCCATATCGATCAAGTTGGCCACTGCAGTCAGACCAGCAGGCCCCGCCCCGACGACTACAAACTGGTAACATGCTTGTTCCTCCTTCTTCGGAGCCCTCGGGTTCTCACTTCCTGTGGACATGGTAGCTGTGGACTTCGAGGGTGTGATTATAATCTGCGCCGCGAGTCCTATCGCGAGTCCCTTCGACTATCTATGCTGCCTGTAGACAGTTATCGATTTAAGGCTGTGCTTGGGAGTAGCAAAGTAGCGAGGATGCACTGCATCGAGCTGGATTGATGAGGGTGCTCACAAACAAGATGCTTCTGACATCCATTCGGGGGGATCCAAGTAGGCCGATCTCACCCCGGTATGCTGGCCAGGCGAAACCCCGGGTCCCGATCACCCCTGACCGGTGAAGTCACGGGGTCCACCAAGCATTCAGATATCATCTTTGGATTGGTGACTTGGCCGAATTCTCAAGACAATTGTGAATTTGTCTTGACTGCTCGAACCTTGATAACAAATTCTCTACTTTCATTGCTTCCATCTAGCATCACTTCCACTTGTTTCGAGTTAATTGTACCAGAAATATAGTTCTCGTGTTGAAGCAAAGAATTGTGAAGGAATCAAACCATGGCACAATGCCACAAATCTGCAAACTCTCATCCAAATACAAAGTGATGCTTGATTACCAAAAAAAAAAAACCAAAGAGCTCAGCTGCAAGATTCATTGGGATTTTTGTGAGATTTTGTCTTCCCCCCAGTTTATGATGATGACTGAACGCAACAAGTGTGTGGATCGGTTTGTGCAAGTGATCATTGAGTCATTCAAAAGCAGCTTCAAGGACCAAGGAAGTCAAGCAGATCCTGTTGAGCTATCTATGTAGTGTACTTTACATAGCGCTACTTTTGCGTGCTTCTTCCTCTTTTTCATTTCTCACATGTCACACTTTGTGACATTCATTGTGTTTTCATTTCTCTCTTATACTGGAGACAACTGAGTTGGAAAGGATCTCTTTTTCTTCATCCTTTCCAACTACATTGTCTCCAGGTGAGTCTTTCTTCTTTTCCTCTTTTTCTCTTTCTCTCAGTGAAATGACACATATCCTTTCCAACTACATTGTCTCCAGGGTGTCTATTTCAACAGGTTATGAGGCCCCTTTGCGCTTAATCAGCTCGCTCTTACTCGTTCATCGTGTTTCTCTACTGTTCGACTCGCGTCTCTCTTCGACTTGTTTTTCCTCTCAGACTAGTCGCCGACACCCCGTTTCATCGATACTGAAGGATCATCGCTATGGCCAACACCACAGCTCAAACCGCCACTGACTCCGATGCCCTCAATCTGAAGGTGTCGGGCATCGTCCAACTGAAGCCTCAGGGAGCGGACTCCAACTATTTAGACTGGAGCTTCGTTGTTCTCCTTCATCTCAAATCACTCAAGCTTTCCTACGTCCTTGAACCCGAAGACGTCTCCGCTACCGCCGAATCAAAAACCACCCGTCCTGCCTCCTGGGATAACGACAGCATAGCTGTCTCGTCGTTCATCGCCAGGACGATCCACCCATCAAACCTTCGCTTCGTCAGGGCTCACGGTACCAACGCCGCAGCGATGTGGATCTCTTTGTCGCAAGCCCATCAAGATTTTTCGTCCGGCGGTCGTATGCATTGGCTACGACAACTCGTCGTCGCTCGTCTCTCCGGCGACGACATTGATTCTCACATTGAATCGATGGCCGTTTGTGCTGAGCGCCTCGGTTCGTTGGTTACTCCCGAGAAGCCGCTTACTGTCGATGACATTCATGCAACGGCCCTTCTCACCTCCTTGACCGATGATTGGCTCCCCTGCGTGTCATCGTTGATGAACGAGGATTCGGTCACTTCGTCGCGAATCGTGTCGGCACTCAAGGCCGAGTCCCTTCGTCGCAAGGCTCGTCGCGAAGACGATGTCACTATCTCTGCCTCTAAGGCTCGCGCGGATCTTTCTAAGGCTAAACCTCGCTTCAATGAAGCTCTCCACTGTACCTTTTGCAACCGATCCGGCCATGACCTCGCCATATGCGAGAACGCCTCACGAGTGCTCTCCGAGCACAAATCCAATCGATCCTCCAACAGTGGAGGAGGGTCTCGTCGCCACGATATCTCCCGCGACAATAGACGCCATACAGGCAATGATCGCTCCTCCTCTCGCGCTAACTCATCTTCCAAGCCGTCCACGACCGCTGGTCAGACTACTGTAGTCGAACTCGGCTACGATTCCTACGATGACCAATCCGATTTTTCGGTTCCTGAACGCGCCGGTAACGCTGTCGTGGGTACTCACCACACTGAGTATTCCAGCACTGTCGATGCCAACATCGATTCAGGCTGTTCTATCTCTATGACGCCTCATGAATCCACCGTCGACCGCCTTAAGCCGGACTCAACCTCAGTCCGTCTAGCTGATCGCTCTGAGGTCTTTGCCACTTTCCGTGGTTCTCAATCCTTGCCACTCTCGGTCGACAAACAAGTCCCAACTCTCGTGGTTCCAGGCCTTCATGAGCCACTGCTGTCCGTCGCTGGCTTGTGCGACAAAAATCTCGTTGTCGTTTTCTCTAGCGACTCCTGCAACATTTACGAGGCGAATTCCTTTTCTGTCACCGGTCCGATTGTTGGTCGTGGCTATCGCAAGGGTAATCTTTTCTACCTCCCCTCCGATGAGGTGAGATCCTCCTCCGCCATTTCAGTTCCGTCTCCCTCTCACGGCAGCTCACTCTTGGATTATCATGTCCGACTCTCTCACATAGGCCTGAAACCCCTCAAGCGTCTCCTTCATCAAGCTGGAATCGTTCCGACGTTGGCCAATGACATTGAGGTAACCCAATGTCCTATTTGTGTGCAGTCTAAAATGCATCGTCTTCCTTTCACTTCTCGCCTTTCTTATCGCTCTCAGTCTCCCGGTCATCTTATCCATTCAGATGTTGGTTCTTTTGAGGTCGCCTCCCGCGAACAATACAAATACTTCGTCACTTTCATAGATGATTGTTCAAAATTTGTTTCCATTTTCCCGATGAAATTCAAATCAGATGTTCTACCCTGTTTCAAAATTTTCAAAACTTTCTTCGAAAAGGACGGAAGATTTCCAATCCTCAAACTTCGTTCAGACAACGGTGGGGAGTACATCTCTAAGGCTTTTGACTCTTTTCTTCTCACCTCCGGTATCCATCATGAGCCCGGCCCCCCTCACTCCCCATCCCTCAACGGTGTTGCTGAACGTACCAATCGTACAGTGGCAAACCTCATCCGCTGTTCACTCCTCAATGCCAAACTTCCTAAGGTTTTCTGGGCGGATGCTATGCGCCACATCTTCCACGCCTTCAATTCCATTCCCTGCTATACCCCATTGGGGTTTCACTCCCCTAATTCCATCCTAGGTCGTCCTCTCGTCGATTTCAACTCACTTCATCCCTTTGGATGTCTGGTCTGGCATAAGGTACCGGATGTAACCCAGAAGAAACTTGATCCAAGGGCTCACGCTGCCATTTTCCTCTCTTACCTTGATGATGGAAATGGTCACCGAGTTTGGGACCTTCAGACGAAAAAGGCAATCAAAACTCGGGATACGATCTTCAACGATGGAATTTTCCCTTATGATCATCAAATTACCGGTCCAACTCCAACTATCTATGTTGACCTTCCTTGGCCAAACTCTGTCCCTACTATGTCTGTCGGATTACCACCAACCACAGCTGCTCTTCCTTCTGCCGCCCTCCCATCTTCTGCACCTTCTCAGCCGGCATCGTCACAGGCTCCCCTGTCTCAGCTGCGTGTTGATCTCCCTCAGACTTTTAGGCAACTCCGCGATCCGGTGCCACCCATCCCCGTCTCCCCAACCACCAGTGATTCTGACGATGGCGGTAAGTCATCTGGTCTCCCTTCACCAATTCCACTTCCTTCTCTACTTTTCTGTTCTCTTTAAAAACTCGTCATCAGCAAGGGGGGGTGTTGAGCTATCTATGTAGTGTACTTTACATAGCGCTACTTTTGCGTGCTTCTTCCTCTTTTTCATTTCTCACATGTCACACTTTGTGACATTCATTGTGTTTTCATTTCTCTCTTATACTGGAGACAACTGAGTTGGAAAGGATCTCTTTTTCTTCATCCTTTCCAACTACATTGTCTCCAGGTGAGTCTTTCTTCTTTTCCTCTTTTTCTCTTTCTCTCAGTGAAATGACACATATCCTTTCCAACTACATTGTCTCCAGGGTGTCTATTTCAACAGATCCTGACCTGAAACTGTGCCTTCATCACTTTGTATGGAAAGCCCAACACACCCATCCATATATATCCATATCAACAGGGCATCGATGCATGAGTTTGATACTTTGGCCCAGATCATCTTGCAGTCCAGAGAGGGGAGAGAGTAAGCAAATCATATACGTGCTCAGGCATTTTTGATTTAATTATGTTTTCTTACAATGAAGTCCAACTAATTTGTTTATAAAGCTGACTGCATCTTCTATTCTAGTCCAAGTATTGACTTTGCTCTGCTTTGAAGGTTCTTGTTTGGGTACACAGGCTGCTATAGAACATGTTCTGACAAAAATCTTAATCCAATTTCTCTCTGTATGTAGAACAAGAACACCACAAGAAGAAATTTGAGGACACCTGATGACAGTTGACATGCAGCAACTTGGATACTACTTGCGCTTCTTACTCTCATTTTACTCAGAGGTTACAACTTCAACTGAACTTGAATGCACAGTCGTTGTGCACTTTGCACAGTGACTGCGGAGAAGAAATGACTTGGGAATATGTAACTTGTCAGTAAGAATTTGAGTTAGGCCGCAGTAGCCTTCATGCCAACTGTCAGCAAGCGTCCTGACTTTTTTTTGTGGTGCTTCAAACATCTTTTTTTAAAGATGCACATGTGTGAATATCAAGAACTCAAGAATGAGTCTTCTCCTGTCCCCCACCCATCCTCTCTCTCTCTCTCCAACAAAGTCCAACAAAACAAAGACAACCAAGCAAGCAAAACTGAAAGAAAAATACCAATTCCAACAACCCCCCTTCCCCCCCCCCTCTCTCAAAAAAAAAGAAGAAAAAACTTCTCAAAAAAACTATATATAACGAGCATTTGACTAATTAATGGATTGATTCATAAGAATGGAGAGAGATTGAATTCTAAACAAGAACACGGGAAATCGAGTTCGAAGTTTTTGATGACGATCGGATGCAAGATACCCAACCAACCGATCTCGATCCAATGATTACCAACCCCATTTTGTTTCTCCAGATCGTCCTGATTGAGAGGAACTTGGGGCGTAGGTTTAAACATGATCTTAGCCGATCGGCCATTGAAGAAAGTCGGATCTATAGCACAATAATGATAAAGGAGCACATGAGTTAAGATTTGGATAAATGAGGGAGTGGGAGAGAGAAGGAGAGACAGACGGTCAGATTCTTCGATCCGATACTGGCCACGGCTCAAGGATTTCCGGGCCGGGTCGGGGCCCAATCCAATCCAATCGATTTCGAGAGTCGCCATGACGCGATCGAGGAGCCCATGGACGACCTCGAACCCCGCGCTCTTCTTGCCCACATAGACCGCCCCGAGTCTCCGGAGGTTCTTGGCCTTCCTTTCCAAGCTAGCATCCTTGATCACCACATCCGAGACCTCGAAGATCTTCATCGGTAAACTGTGCTTCCGGTTCTCTCGGATCGTCTTCAATAGTCCTGGTAATAGCGAGGTTCGCACTACCTGGAACTCAATTGTCGCTGGGTTCGAGAGTACTACCGCTTCACTCCCATCATCCTCTTTCCGTAAAAACTTGAAGTTTTCATCATGGGAACACTGTTGATGTAAAATAGTAGCTCAGTATCACAGTTCATAAGGTAAGATGTCTTGAAGTAAGAAGCTAACAAGTGTCAAAGGTAAGACTTCAAGCCATCCAGCAAAAGCGCATTCCTTTCTGACCAGATCCGAGAGTTTATTGATTGGGTAAGGTTTAGCGACGGTATTAGTGCTAGGGAAGGTTTTCGCCAAGTGATTGAAGCCGTAGGCGATAGCGACCTCCTCGACGAGGTCGCATTCGTGGAGGATATCAGGACGGGTTGGGGGGACGGAGACAGAGAGGAGATCTTCAGGAGGAGCCTGTTGGAGGGCGAGCGAGGTGGAGCTGTTGATTGCCAGTCCGTCTGCTGGTCGGCCAATGCTTGCCCGGTGCCCCATCTTCTCAAGTAGCTCGATCATCGCTTCCCGCGTTAGGTTCAGCCCGGTGACTGAGTTGATGTACGACTGTCTTGTCGCAAACACCAAGGGCTCGATCTTCGGTGACCTGTAACTCTCCGCAAGATCGTGTTCATAAATTATATCGACCGGCTCGACTCTGTCAAAGTTTTGCAAGAAAACATCAGAGATTTGTTTTTTCTCGTTTACTAGAGCTTCATGGGCTGGGAGACTAACGTGAATGGTTTCGAACAGTATTGAGAGAACATGGTGATGATCATATTAATGACTATGCCTAATTTCGTCTGGTCGGTAGCGGTGACATCGATGAAGACGTCGCGGGTATCCAAGGTAATTTTAGTTTTATTCGAGTTGATTCTGATCAACATGGATAAAAAAAAACAATTAGAGTCGAATCGAAAGAATAGTCTGATCTAGCGCAAACTGACATGGGTGGCATGGAGAGGACGGTGCGTGAGTTATCGTAGATGATGGGATAGAGGGGCGAGTCTCGAATGATGTGGAGATATTTGCTGAGGTGTTTGTCTGACTGAATAAGATGGATAGATAGTGATCTTAGTCAGTTATGAAGGAGGAGCGAGAGAGGATTCAAGGGAGATAAACCTCATAGAGAGTCATGAGTTGAGTGGCATCATATTCGGTCTCCTTGTTCAAGGGGGCAAACTTGATCTCCTTGGGTGGTCTGGCCTCATAGGAGATGACCTTATTGGTATGATCGATCGTGCTGAGGTCGTGGGTGCCGATGGCGACTAGGGTCCGTTTGCGACACAGGTTCCCGTGTAATTTGTCCTGCAGTTCGATGAAGTCTTTGTACCTCTGTTCGTCGAACTGGACCCCACGGAGGATGGCTGATGCAAAGAAGGGTCTGATCTGACTGGTCTCCTTCCTCACGTAGGCCTTCCACTGTTGCTCTGGTGGTGGGATGATGAGTGAGTAGTTGGGTGCTGGTTGGGTGCCGATGTAGGTTCGTAGTGCTAGGATGAGTCCCTGATGGCAGAGTAGGTCGTATCTATTGGCAGGCACTTCGATCTTCAGCTTGTATGGTTTCTCCTCTGGTGTTGTATGTTCGGTCTAAGTAAGTAATCGACAGGTGAGAGAGTGAGTTCTTGATTGTCTTCTTCTTCTTCTCATGAGATGGTCTGATCCACTCACGTCCTCATCCAGCTCGAGACCATAATCGAATAAGATCCCATCGAACTCCTTGTCATCCTCTGCATAGTCAGTAGTCACTTTAAGTCAGTTTGGGGTTCAGTTTGAGTTGGTTGGTATGCTTTACTCAACTGAATGTCTTTCCGAGTTCTTTGAAGAATCTTTCCTTGTCGACTGTGATGGTTGGCATGTTTGTTGGTTCTTTGCCCAAGGATCCGAGTCCGATCGATTGTTGGAAAATTTTCAAGTGGCATTACCGCTAGTGGATATCGGAGCAACCCCCCGTGGTAGCCCCCCCGCGGATGAATGCGCTGTCCCCGAGATACCCCTATAAACTATTTCCTGCCTGCGACTTGTCTCTCTCGGCTCCGGCCACCAGACTACATATGGCTGCCCCCAGTGGTTCGATCAGAACTTATCAACATCCAAACGACCACAAGTACCTCAGATTCCTCATCGGCTCAACCATCCTCACCAAAACAGCCATCGCAAACCAAACACTGTTCTGGTCCAACCCACTCGTCTACCTCTGGACGACCCTCTTCACACTCTACATCGCACTCGACCGTCTAAATGATAATGGCCAACTATCCTTACTCTCGACCATCCTCATCAGACTCCCATTCCTATTCGCACCGCCTCTCATCCTACTCGTCCTCCTCAACCGGGCCAACCGGACCTACTTCCATTCGATCCTACTCGAAACCCTGAGTCGGGAAGACCTCAGAGACCCACTAGGATACTACGATCGCAGGATTCTCAAAGAGAAAGATGCCCAGAGCCCGTCGGGGATTTGGGTACTCGAATATGACGGCCGACAGTTAGGGGTCGTAGCATTCGATCAGAATCTGGAGGGATACGAGGAACTCTCCTCCAACTCCGACTCCTCAGGGTCCGCGACGGCAAGGAGGACGGTATTGATCCGTCATCTGGCATGTGCATCCGACTTCAGATCGGCAGGGATCGATGAAGAACTGCTTCAACACGTCCGCCGACTCCTCTTCCATCCAAACTCACCATGCGTCAACCGAATCGCAATACCCATCCTGAACCCAATCGACCCATTCCTGAAATCAGCACTACTCAACCAAGGCTTCAGACCACTCAGAATCACTAGCTCACAGAAAATCACTCACCCTTCAAAGAAACCCTTCCTCCCTGATTCCCTACTAGGCTTACTCGGTTGGCCTGACTGTCATTCTAAATGGACTCGACAGCTCTGGATCCTCGATCGTCAATCCGCTCCAACTGACCAGAACAATCATTCATAGTCAGACTCTTCATATGATCATTTTAATTGTGATCATTAGTCTCAAGTATAGCAGCGCTCAGATACACCTCAAGCTGTAAAACTAACAAACAAAAAATTCAGAGATTCTTCACATGATCAATTGACAGAGAGAGAAGCCCAGTGATCAACCCCCCAAACAAATCAGATTCAACATGAGAATGACATTGACTCATGTATTCTTCATCCATTTACACTCATATGTTTCATTGATCAATTTGACCCAAACAATGCTCACATGCAGTCCCCTACCAGCTGTTTATGGCTGGTTTGTTTGGGTTCAACAACCTCCTCAACCCACCAACTTGAAATCTTGAGACTTGGGCAAGCTGTGGTATAAAATGGGCTTCCAAAAAATGAGTCTGAAAACAGAAGTGTGAAAAAAATAATCTTCAAAAGTTACAAAAGAAATATATTACAATTTATTGCACTTTTTTCAGAACTTTCAATATTGCTCTGAATGATAAAATAAAAATTGGAAGCAATGGAGGACTTCCCGTCGGATCTGGGACCCTCGCAGATGTTGATTTGGACCTGTAAGTAGATTCTGTGAAAGAAGAAATTCACAGTGTTAACTGATTTATTTATTTGAAGAAAACCATAAGCTTGCCCTGGTAAAGAGACCAGAGACCATAGTATTATTTGTTAAGTCTAGAATTTTGCAGGGAAATCTAGCTTTTGAGGCTTCTAAATCACTTCTGGGAGACCCACAGATGTGACGGGAAGTCGTCCAATAAATAGATTGGATGATTTCCTGTTGCAATCTATGACCCTCCCAGAAGTCAATTTACACACCTTAGATTTTTTTTTTTTTCATCAAAAAAAATATTTTTTTCTGAAGCCTTCCAGAAACAGCACTCAAGTAATCTGGTTGAAATCTTAATTGGGTGGTTAAGTTTATAGGACTGAGGGAGGACTAAAAAAGCATTCTAAATTAGGAGGGGAAGTTCTCCAATGGTGTGCAAGAAGGATACACTAAATCCAAAAATCAACATCAGAAATCATTCTGAGCTCACCATCCAGGTCACAATTGAGCTTCACAAAGCCTCTCAAAAAAAGAAGTGTGTTGATCAACACCACAAACTACTGAAATCAGTCCAGAATCACACCTGCAAGCAAGTCTTGAAGAGATCCTACAAGCCCCATGAAATACTCAGACTTACCACAAAACAAAAGTGCAAGCCAATTCATGATCAAGCTCTGTTGAATCATATTTATTTACACAGTTCATCTCAAATGATCATGGTTTGTTCACAAGAGACAAAAAAAAACAGGGACAACAAAACAAAGGGGGGGGAGGAAAAAGTAAGACTAAATACAAGTACAAAGCAAAAGAAAAGAAAAAAAATATGCATGTTGTGCATGTGTAACCAGACAAACAGGCTAAAACAAGCCTTGATTGAAAAGCATATTGAAGAAGGATATAAAAGAAAACAAGGAGGACAATCATGAATCTAGTTGGCCTGTCTGTCTGTCTATGTGTGTTTTCAATTTTGTTGAGTGAGGTGTTATGTTTGAAGAGGAGATGGTTAACAAGTCAAGATACCCATGTTTTTCCAGGCGTCCAATAAGTCGCCGACAACAAATGGGGATCCTTCTTTGGGAGCTCGCAATTCCTTCATAAATGTCCCAAAGGAAGAGAGATGGTAGGTATAGATAGTTGGAGATTAGTGTTTGTTTGTTTTTTTCTTCCCACAGACAAAATCAATCAAAAAAAAAGAGGAAAGTTTCTGGAAAGTGATGTGTGTGTGTGTGTGATCGTGAGAGAAGGAGGATGCAGAAAGACGTACTTTGGGATCTATTAAGTCGAACTCGACACCGAATTGTAAGAAATGAGCAAATAATGAATTCACATGACCTTCGGAAGATAACTATAAGAAACCGAACGAGCAATTGATTAGATAAATATCGATATGAATATTAAAACCGAAAGAAGAGGACGATAGAGAAGGACTTACATGGACGAAATGGTCGAAATGGGCATGATAGAGATGAGCGAAGATGCGCAAGAATTGGGTGTAGAGATGACGAGCCGATGAGGGGAAGGTGTTTGGGTTAAATTCGCGGCCGGCTTTGGTCGGGAAAGTGGCTTCGTCGGCTAGTAGTTTCTCAGCCCAGGTCATCACGTAATCGATCTGTCCAGTCATCCCAACCATAAGTATTATCAATTTCTTTTGTCGCATATTTCTTTAAAAAAATGGGGGTAGGGGCTTAGAATAAGGAATGACTCACGTATTGTGGGGCAGGTACTTTTACTTGTTTTTTCGTCCCTCCCGTCATACTAGTCCAAGTGTAATCCATCCTATAACGAAACAAAAAGGAAAAATCAATCAGAGGAAATTGAATGTCCAATGGATCTGAGTTTTTGTCATTTACCCTGGACCGGAAGACATCGTTGGACAGACGTTGGCATTGCAACATTCAGTAGTGAGAGAGAGGATCAAGTTTAACGAATTAAAGAAATCCACCAAGTTGACTGCCACCCACTATCATCAACAAGCAACAATGAGAGACCGCGCGATCAAATTTCTTCTAGCAGAGAGAGAGAATGGGAACATACCTCGTTGACGTCACAATATCTGGGTAAGGAGACGATCGTTCGAAAGCTTCCCTTGACGAGAGCTGCCTTGACGAAAGGGTTGCAGAGGTAGAGGGCCTTTCCGGAGGGTGCACAGGGAGTGATAGCGCGAGGATGATTACTGAGCGAGAGGTTACTGAGCGTACTGGGCAGACTCTGATGAGCAGGGTCGGCAGAATTGGTGGCGACGACGGGCGAGGTGGGTGATTTGTTGGTGGACTGTTGTGGGGAGGTGGCGCTGGAGGGGGCTGATGAGCTCGGCTTGCCGTTGCTGTTTCCACTGTTGCTGTTGTTGGCACTGCTGTTGGTGTTGGTGGTCAGTTTGTTTGAGCCTATGCCGACTCGGTTGAGGAAGGACATCGTGGGTTGTTGTTGGCTTGTTGAGGTTTGACTGTTTGCTGCTTGGTGAGATGGATGATGGTGATGCTGCTGCTTGGGTTATCGGTTGATCGATGATGGCTGCTTGGGCTAAGCTATCACACAGCAAACACAGACCTGTGACACCTCTGCCTCCCACAGACTTCCTCCTACTGCCCAGAAACTTGAAAGTTAACATGAGCACAATCAACATGTACTCAAATGTGGAAAACTATGAGCTAGTAGCCATCCCAAGAGCCCTGTTCAGATACCGGTGGTTGTTTAAACTCAGCATCCATTCATCAAGCATATTTCTACATTCAACATCTCACTCAACCCTGGGCACACATAATTGAGGCATTAACAAGCAGCCCTGGTTTTACAGAACAAAAAATGTCCTATGTGGACTGGGCTAAGTACTGTTTATATCAAGACACAACTTCTTTCAAACTGTACAATTGAGTATAAAAGGTCCCCTAAACTGTGTCAGTGGCAGGGCAGGTCAGCTGGAGCCTGGAAGACAGACCTCAACCTGGATGGGTCAGCTGTCAAACCACCTCACGGACATAGGCCAGTTAATCAAGCTTCAAAGATGTGATATAAATTAACAAAATGGGAGAAAAAAAAACTAGCTTAAAATAAACATCTGCACTCTGGAACTCTGGCCTCAATTTCTAAATCTGAAAATCATCAAAAAATAAGATGGGCAAGATATAAAACCACTTTCCAAAATTTCATTAGTCAAAGAGATTATCTACTTTGAATTTTGTAACACAGATATCAATTTGGGTGAATCTTATGTATTGATTCAATTTGATAATCTGAAGATATTTTTCCATTGAAAGATTGTGTTTAAAATCACTAATATATTGATCATGTTTGAAAGAAAGGATGAAAATGTATCTTGACATCAACTCAACAACTCTGAGGGCCTCTTGTTTTGTGATTCTCTTGACTTGAAAATATTTGAAACCGTGAAACTGAGGATCAATCCTATTGATGAATAACTTCAGATAGGATCTAATGTTTTTAAACTCATAATGAAGATGGAAGCCTGAACTAATCAGATTCAATTTCAGGTCCAAGGCCATTGTATTATCTTCCTGTAACTCCAAGAAGAAACTGTTGTAATTTTCTTTCACAAAGCTCAGTACAAGAAACTGTATTGTGAGGTTAATATCATCATATATTTCAGGACCTGGAGCAAGGAATTTGATCTTCAAATCTTGAAGTTCCTTCACAATTTCAAATTGGTCAATTGGTCCATAATCTTTCATGTCTATCACATCTGATTTTGAGAATGACTGAGGGTGGTGGGCATGGATATCTTGTTCTAAGAATTTGAACAATTGATCATCTTTCAAAAATAAATCCATAACATCTCTCATCCTTTTCTGATCAATTATCTTATCAAGATACTTAGAACTGGCTTCAATTGTGTGATGGTGATAAACCAATTTGAGGCATCCATATGAAATTTCCCTCCTTTTCTTATCATCAAGAACTGGTCAAATCATTTCAAGAGAATATGAACCATCAAAAATGAATCATATATTAGTATGAAAATCAATCACATGCTTTTTTGCACAAAGACTTTCTTCTTACCTTCAAATAAACTTCTGAAATGTGATGAATGATGACTTTTCAAGATTTCTTTGGAAGACATTGGAATATCCTTTTCAAAACCTACATTGATTTTAAACATCAGGACCATGTTGATCACAGCCAACTCAAGAATATTATTTGATACAAATAAATCTTTGACATCTTTTCTTGCTATAAATTTGTACTTGTATAGATAATGAATTGCTTGAAATACTATGCTTTGAAGTCTCAGAGCTAGAACGTTTTCTACCTCAGCCGTCTGAATTTCCTGATCTAATTTGAATGGAGAAATGTTCTCTAATAAACTGGCCAATTCATTAGCTAATATCCTTGGAATATGATCCTCAATCAATTCAACTTCATCTCTACCTAATTTAGGTATTTCAAAAGAATGGGCTGAAGTGGTTTTTTGTTTAGATCTTGGTGGTATTTCAAAATTTGAATGGATTATCCTTCTCTCCTCTTTTGGGTGCATCAATTGAAGGCTATTCAAGATTTCTTTTTGGTTGAGTTTACTTCTGAAAAGCTTTCTCTGTATCACTAGTGATATGGATGAAATCATTCTATTTAGTTCATCAAAATGGTTTTGGAACTTCTCAATCTCTGGAGCCAAATCAAAGTTTTCTTCTGATTTGATGGAGGTACCGGCCCCAAATTTAGCCTCTTGAAGATTTTTCAGGTCTTCCTTTATTAGCAAAAAATCATCCCTCATGCGATTTATTTGACCTAAAGAATTAAAACACTTGTTACAATTCATGGCATGGCATCATACAATTATAGAATGAAAACTTACTACTTTCCAAAACTGCAGGTAGCCCATCAGCTCTTGCTGAATCTTCCGTTTGTTTCAAAACTGATTGCTGTCTATGGAGCTCAGGTACAGTAGCCATGTATTTCATAATTTCCTTTTCCTTTTCAGGAAGATTCAGTCCTTCATCCAGCTCCACACCAGGTAGGACAATTCTTGTATTCATGACTTGGCCATCAATTGTTATTTCTAAGTTTCACCAACAGAAATGAATTTCCAGTGTGCGTGTTTTGTCAGATTTTTTGGAATAATTTTTAGATGAAGCTCTGTCTTTTAAATTCTAAGCAGATGGGAGATAACAGTGAAAACTCACCAGGCCAATTTAGACACAAACACTTAATTGTGTTTAAGCAAAACAAAGCCAATAGTGAAATCTTTCTAAATGTGGGCATCCATTGGGCCATCATTGTAATTTTTGTGTGAAAACAAAATTTCAAAAAGTCTATCATAAACGGGTAAATAATATGTAAAAATTCTGGAAAATTTGGAGAAGACCCGTCTAGACAGCATCAGCTAGAATGCTTCAAGCCTATGTCTATCTGGTGGTCTGATAGGACAGTTTGTCAGAAGGATAGTTTTATTGTATTGTTTTCCAAAAATTGCAACTCCTGAACCTTATCTGGTGTAAAAACAATGTAGAAATTAACATTGAACTAGTTAGTTTAAACCTTAATCTAAGTAAATTCTCATGTATTTGATAGTTTCTTGTCACATACAGTAGGGGAGGCATGTGTTAAAATAGAGCTTTTATACCACTGCAGTTTTTATGGTGTTTATCACAGGTACATAGAAAGCTGGACATACTTGAAAGGATGAGGCTATTAGTTCTTGCTATGCTTTGTGTAGATATTAGAATCGCTACAGCACAAAGTGTTGAACATTGTCCAGCAGGACATAACATCAAGGCTTTCATGTATATAATTATGAATTTAAAACAAATAAAAAGTTGGTAAGACTAAGGGAAAAAAACCCCGTTGAAACCAGACTACAGCCCACAGGTGACATCATTGCAAGCCTAAAAATCTACCCAGGAGCTCCCCATTCAATTTTGTTTCAACCCCTACAAGGAACAAAGAGGCCATTGTTGTAAATTGGTCAAAACACCACATCTGGATTATATTTGCTTCATTTATTTCCCAAGGTCTCCCAAAATCAAAGGACAGTTCATTTTCTGTGGTTTAGAAAGAAAAAAATGGAGACAAAGACCCAAAATTGGCAATGAGTACGTAGATGTAAATTCATAGTTTGTTTTATAAAAAAACTGCACCAAAAATAAGATAAAGTCAACTTCTGTTCATCAAAAAAAGTTTTGTTTTTCCAAAATGGCATACCCCCCCCCCCCCCCTCAAAGGAGACACCCCATAGTGGTCTTTGTGGGCTGGGGTTGGTGAGTTGAATACCCATGTACCAAGAGCTGCTTATTAGGGTGTATCACAAATATGAAATATTCCATTAGAATCCAGTCCATTTTCCAAAAATAAAGTTTTGCATAAATGGGTCCCCAAATGGTGTAGGTAAAGAGCTAACATGTTTGAAAAATGATGGATTCTTTCAAACTACCCCCTATTGTACACACACCAACATCCATTACACTTTTAACAACGGTGGGCCAGCTACGCTAACTGTAGCGTTAGCGTAGCATAGTGTAGCAATTTTTTGCTACAATTTAGCGTAGTGTTAGCGCTTTTTTCATTTTTTGCGCTAACGCTACGCGCATGGGGCAAAACCTTGCGCTAACTTTTAGTGTAGCGTTAGCGCGATTCCCCCCATCTGTGCTAACGCTACACGCACAGGCCGCCAAAAACTGCCCGCTACACTGCGCTACAGCGATTTTTAGCGGTTTTGAGGCGTTTTTTGCCGCTAAAAACGCTGTAGCGTAGCAGCGCCAGCGGCGCGCTAACACTACACCAAAAAAATGGCTAGTGTTAGCATAGCGCAGCGGCCGTAGCGGCACGCTAACACTATGCAAAAAAAAAAAATGGCGCCGCTACGCTAACGCTACATGGGCCCATAGCGTAGTGTAGCGTAGCGGCCCACCGCTGCTTTTCACTCACAAAATTCCACAACCTCTTTTCTGTGTGCGATGGCTGCAATGATGTTGAGGTGTAGCTTTGTTGTTTCTCTGTCTGGTTTGATTTCCAACCCTTTCTCCTTCATTTCACAGATCCATCAGATCTTGTAGGTAGGGCCAGACGTGGATGGATTCCTTTCCTCATCCCTCACACTTCTGTCTGTCCTGAACTAGGTAAGGTTTTCTGTCTGTCTTGTCTTGTGTTTGGCCTCTTTCTTTTCTATAATGAAATTGACTTGTCCTAGTTTCCACTCCTGCCTGTCCTTTCCAACTAGTTTATTTATTCTGCCTTCAGGTAAAGAAGAATATTTATTTCATTAAAGATTAAAATAGCTTATCAGAAATAAATATCATCTTCAGCTTTCCAAATTCTTTCAATAAGCTCAGGAGGAAATCAATTCAAGATTTGAGAAACTTGTTTTCACATTCATACAAATAAAAGAAAGCTATTCAAATTTATTATGTGAAATGTGGGCATGAAGACATGTATGAATCCCCATACAAGTCATACATATCAATGAATTGAATGTTGACAAGAAAAATACAAAAGCTTGAAAATGTGACCAGCTTGATGGGTTCCTGGTCTGATCACCAAATTGGAAAATTTGTTTCCTAAAACAAGAATCTGGAGATGCACTCATGTAACATTCCACTTCACCAGTAAATAAATAAAGAAGAAGAGAACTGGATTAAGAGATCATTTTGACAGCAAACTATCCAATTTATCTTTTGCAACAGCGATACAAAATTGTGGAAAGAAGATATATTTATTCAAGTTTTCGATTTGGAGATACTTTTCCATCAATGGATTGTGTACAAAGTCTTTAATATATTGATTGTGTTTGAAAGCGACAAGTAAAATGTAATTTGAGACCATTTTAATAAATTGAAGGGCCCCATGAAGATCTCGTGGAATGTGCTTGCTCAGTTGGCGGTATTTGAAGCCGGGAAACTGACTGCCATCCATCCTCAACACAAACAACTTCAAATACTCTACAACATATTTGAATTCATATATGAGATGAGTGTATACATTGAGTAAGGACAACTTTGGCTTCAAGGAGCTGTTGTTTCTCTGGAGATCCAAGAAAAACTCCCTGTAATTGTCTTCGATCCACGTGAGTATCAAGCATTGAATCTTGAGGTTGATGTCATCCTTGATTGCAGGACCCGGTTTAAGAAAATGGTTCTTCAAGTCTTGAAGTTCCTTCCTGATTTGCCCTTCAATTGGTCCTTCATTTGTTAATTTGAACACTGGCATACCCAATTTTGAGGAATGTCTGTTCTGAAGATCCTGTTCTAAAAACAAGAATAATTGGTGATCTTTGAGGAACAAATACATGACATCTCTCATTCTTTTCTGATCAATGATCTGATCAAGATCCTCAGAACTGGTTTCAATTATATGATGTTGATACACCAACGTGAGACATGTGTATGAAACTTGTCTCTTTTTATGAGCATCTAGAGCTGACCCAAACCATCCAAGAAGATGTGAATGATTAACAAGGATAAATAAAATAAAACATCAGTTGTGATAGAAAAACATCAATCAAAGCTTGAAGTGTCTTTCTCTTACCTCCAAACAAACTTCTGAAATGTGATGAATGAGAACTTCTTAAGATTTCCTGAACAGAGGTTGGAATATACTTATCAAACCCCACATTAATTTTAAACATCAGAACCATATTGGTGATAGCCAACAGAAAATTCTTATTAGATTCAAAAAGTGCTTGGACAACTCCCTCATCAACAAAGTGGTAGATGTACAAGAAGTTGAGTGCTTGAAAGACTATGCTTTGGAGTCTGAGAGCTATGACAGTTTCGATGTTGCTCTTCTTGCTCTCCTTTCTGGAGTCAAAGGATGCAATCTTCTCCAACAATTCAGCCAGCTCCTTAGCCAATACCTTTGGAATATGGCTCTCAATCTCTTCAAGTTCATCTCTTCCTATTTTTTGTGGGACACTAGAAGATGTGGATGGATCCACTTTTTGTTTGGATCTGGGTGCAGGCATTTCAGATCCCGAATCCAGTTTCCTTTTTTTCTCTTTGTGTGGGTATATTGATGGAACAGCATGCATGAAGATTTCTTTTTGGTTGAGTTTACTTCTAAACAGCTTTCTTTGTATGGCTAAAGATATAAATGAAAGTATTTTCTTTAGGGTATCAAGCTGGGTTTGAAACTTGCCAATTTCCAGCTCCCAAGAACAGGTTTCTTCTAGTTTTTCAGGGATCCCATTCACTGATTTGCCCTCTTGGAGATTGGCCAAGTCTTCTTTGATGAGCAAGAAATCATCCCTCATGGAACTGATTTGACCTGTAAAGTAAAAAAAAAAATTGATCAGCCAACATCACTGTTGAACCATAGTCTATTGTATTGAGAACAGAACATGTACTCTCTTCCACAATTCTAGATGGCTTGTGTCGAACTGGATAGGAATCTTCAGTTGGTTTCAAATATGATTGTTGTCTATGAAGCTCAGGGACAGTAGCCATGTATTCGAGGACTTCTCTTTCCTTTTCAGACACATTTATCCCTTCATCCAGTTCTACGCCAGGAAGGATGATTCTTTTATTGAAGACCTGGCCATCAATTTCTATCTCTGGAATTTTGTTCAAAGGGTTGTTGATTTATTTTTTTAAAATATTCAAGAAGATTTGTGTGTTTGTCTCCTCAGTTGCACGTCTAGGAACTCGGGAGATAGCAGTGGAGACTTACCGCCCCAATTCCCCCCAAGAAGTGAAGTTGCGTCCGAACAACATAGAGCCAGTAGCCAAATTGCCCTAGGGTCCACTCGAATCAACATCGTGAGAGAGATGTTCAAGTGACGGAAAATAAAAATCGAAGATCACAGGATTAAAGGAAGTATGATGAGGAAGTTGCTTGAAAGGAGTTCTGGCACAATTCTAAAAGCAGTATTTACACACTGATACGCCTGCGGCTCCTTTAGCGGGCTGAAGAGAGTGGTCAGGAGAACCGTTGTCTCATGGTATGAAAAGACTCAAAGTTTCATGTCCTGCCAGGTTTCGAAACAAATCAGGGCGGTATTACAATACACCACAAAATAATTGGCCGCCGAAAATTGTTAGGTTGGTGGGACTACCATACTGCGGAGCCCGACGCAAGAGTCTCAAACTAATCTTAAGCAATAGGGGGAGGACTGCGAGCCAGATGTACACGAGCCTATGAACGCCATTTGTAGAAATCCCCGCAGGGTCTGCGCCCTCCCGTCAGCCAGCGCTCGGGCCCGGCAGACGAGTGGACTTGCGTTTAGTTCCAAGTGCGTGTTCGAAATGGCTGGGTAAGGGCTTTGGTGACAATCCTTATACTTCATCCAAAAAAAAAAAAAAAAAAGAGATAGCTAGGGAACCAAAAAAAGGGAAGAGGGGGATCTACATCTGTTCTCGGAAATGATGGCCATCATATATGTACATAGCCCATTAGTGCACCTCTATCGCCATTGACCAAAAACTCCCCTGCACATGTTGTTTCCATAGAGGTATACATATATGATTAAAACCCTAAGTACAAATTTCACCAAAAAAAAAGAACCAAATGAGTCAGCCATAAAATGCCCAACCCCCCTCCTCAAAAGAGGGTGAAAGGAAAAAAAGGGGGGGAAGACAAGGAGGAAGAAAGAGACGAACCATACTTAGCACCGCCCGCTTTGCGATTAAATTTGCCGCGAGAGATTCTGTCTTCGAGTTCCGCCCTGTTAGCTTGAGCGTCGGTGAGCAGAGAACTTAATTGATGTCTTCCACGAGCCATAGAAGAGATATGTTTCTACAAACAAACCACGAAACAAACAAACAAATCTTCGCTTAACAACTTTGGACAGAAATTATCAAGTAGCCGGGTGTTTCTTTTGCTTACACTGGGTTTAGTAGCAGCAGAGGCTTGTTGTTCTTGTCTGGCCTCCTCCCGAGGATCGATGATCTTGGGTTTATTTTCCCAGGCGGTTTGGGCGACCTGTTTAGCGTCGAACTGGACGAGACTATTAGGGGCGTCCTTGAAGAAGTCTTTGGGGAGTTTGGAGTGCTTATCCGATGACGAAGAGGAAGATCCCGTTGTTGTTGTTGTCTCAAGAGTAGGTTGAGAATAGTGTTGGAGGTAGAAGGCTTTCCAGAGCGGATCTGATGGATCTCGTTCGCACCAACTTCCGTCTTTCCGTTGCCAGTAGCCTGGGTAAGGGTCCATTAGACTCGGCGGGGGTGGGACTTCCGCGGCTACCTGTGGCGCCGACGATACCGTCAGCGGGATCTGTGGCTCCAGTGTCTCGACGGGGACGCGCTTGGTTGAAGCAGAGGAGTCCGAGGAGCTGGTTGGGGGAAGGCCGAAGAGATTCAGTGTTCCGGTGGTGGAAGACGTGGGTTGGATGGGTTCAGACTGGACAGCCGAGGGAGCCTGATCTTGAGCGGTTGTTGTTGGTTCATGTTTTGGCTTCTCTAGTGCTTTCGGTTTGAATGATAGTGATGATGATGATGATGATGATGATGATGGTTGAGGTTGAGGTTGAGGTTGGGTTCGTTTGGGAGGTGGTAGTAGGCTTGCGAGTCCTGAGCTCTTAGACGAAGCAGGTTTTTTCCTCTTGAGTTTCGAGAGCAGGTCATCCCCCTTGTGAACTTCTTGGGGTTGAATGGAGGATGGCTGAGTATTTTGATTGAGTTCTGGTTGGTTGGATGTCGTTGGTGGGGGGAGGTCGATGATGATCCTAGCTTTGGTCGGTTTCAGTTTCTTTCTTGGCGGTAGGTTCGTCTTGGTTTCAGTCTTGGCCTCTTCTGCTTCTGAGTTTTCATCCCCTGAACTGTTATAATCGACGAGTGCCATCCGAGGGAGATGGAGGGAGTTGAGTGACTGTTGTGGTTCTTGGCTGAAGTTGGATGGATCTGTTGAGGCACAGCTGTGCAAGCCAAGGCTAAGCCAAGCCAAGCAAGCAACACATTCTATTTCTCACCCAGCAGGCAATTCTTCAAAAAACCAATCCATGTAACCTCATCTTGATGTAATCTTCTTCTTTATCCGCTGGGAGGCCTCATCTAACACTTCTTTTTGCAGCCAGCCTTGTACATACATTGCTACAGGAGCATTGCTGAATGTGAATCAAGAAATCCAGTGCAAAGTAGAGCAAGGAGCCCACTACATTCAGGAAATGACTCGTACGTTTTTTGGTCACGCTCCCTTCTTCAGAGAGGAGTCCAATAGCCCGGTTCACGTAGGGCTGTTTTAAGACATGTCACAAAAACCTACATGCTCGAGGCTTTAAATTTTATGACTAAAATTTTATGCCTTCTCACTATCCCCTGCTCGTCGCTCTCCTGCTAGTTGCTTGTAAAGAAATTTTTATAACACCACCCGGCTTTCCCCCGATCATCTCACCCCACTAACCTCTCCCCTCGATCATCTCACCCCACTAACCTCTCCCCTCGATCATCTCACCCCACTAACCTCTCCCCTTGTCCTCCTCAAAAAGACTTTGTCTTTCCAATCATGGATGAAAGTATCGATACGGAGAATGCTTTGGTAAGCCATTCTTCAATTTTCCTGTCTATGTCTACTGCATTTATGTTGACGTTTGATTCAATCCAGCAGATTTCTGATACATCTTTGCTGGAACAATCGCTGTCCCTAGATCAATCTTCATTGTCGATGGATCAATCGATGTCGATGGATCAAAATCAATCCGATAACTCATTACAGCTTAGCCTGTCAAACGTCAATCTTGGGCTCTCTTCAAATCCTGATCAAGCCAATCGTCAAGCTAACGACTCAAGCGACCTACGTGATCTACCTGCTCCACCGGCCCCCAAACGTCGCCGCCGCACCCAGGACAAGATGGAAATCTTTCGCGCTGAGCAAGAGCAGGCTCGACTTCGTCGCAAGCAAGAACGTGAGATGGCAAAACTCGTCAAGAATCAACAAAAGCAAGCCCAAAAGCAGGCAAAGGAGGCTGAAAACAGGCCAAAGAAGCCGGTAAGAGATCAAATCAGCGAAATGGATCAAGATCGGCAAGATCAAGCAGCTCGGAGGACGCTGACGATTGAGGCAAGCAATTCGTGCATAGAGATTTCGAAAACATCTGTTCGTATTTGGAGAATACTCAACATTATACGGACTTGTATGGTGATGGCTCAAAGACTGGGGTGGGAACGACGAAAATGACGAAATCACAGGCTTTTGATGTGTTTGCGGTGTGGATGAATAACACCAATCCCGACTTACTCCTCAATGGTAGGAGATTACAGCTTCGAATCGATCGATACAAGAAAAAATACCTGGATGCGAAACGCTTTGAGGAGAATACCGGTGCTGGCATTGAGAATGATCATGGACCGCAAACACTTGCGGAGGCTCTCGAGAGGATATGTCCCTGTTTCGATCGTCTCGACGCTATCTTACGAGACAAAGCGAACGTGGTGGCAATGTTGGAATTCGACCATTCTCAACCTGGCCTTGAACCCCCACCTCTTGAAGAAGAAAGCGATGCAGAGGGAGATCTCCCCGCTGGGCAACCGAGCGAAGTGGGTGCCACCTCCAACCAGGTAGAAGGACCGTCTGTGTCCGAGTCACCCAATTTGCTTTCACCGGACAATTTCACAGATTCACTGCCCAACAGTACACCAATTAGCCGCTCGATGAGTCTTGCAACGTCATCCTTGAATCCCCCAAACCAATCGGCTCAAGGAGAAACGGGAGATACACAATCGTCCAACGATCACTCAAACCTGCCAACAACACCGACTCCCAGTGGCCCCAATGGGGGTGGGAGACAATCTGGTCGTGGCCGGCAAACACCTCTCGGCAGGTCCTCGCAAATGGCATCAATCTCGGCAGGCTCCACGTCAAATGCACCTCAACAAGCGCCCAAGGTCTCGTTGGCAACCGCATTCTCTAGCTCGGCCGACTCAAGGTTTGCAATCATCGAGCGACAAATACAGATTGAGCAAGAGAGATTGAGACTTGAGGATGCCCGCGAGGAATCAAAAGAAAAGCGAGAAGTATCAAGAGTAGAACGAGAGGATGAGCGTTGGAAACGGCAACTCGACTGGGAGCGGGAACGATATGGTCGTGACGAAAAGCGGGCCGATGAAAAAGAAAGTAGGCAAGTAGCGCTTCGGAACGAGAAAAAAAGTGTCATCATGGACCTCGTCAAGCAGGGGAGAACGCAATCCGAGATTGAGGCATACATCAGACTTATTTATGATTAGGTTGGTAGGTGAAGTTACCCTGCCTTGTGTATTCTAATGTAACTAATCATGTTGAATCCATTTCTATCCGATAGGATTTTTGATTCGATTTCAATCCGATAGGATTTTTTTTCCGAGGGTTCAATATCAAAGCAATTTACATCTTTAGTTTGCTGTTTGGTCCCATCGCTTCTCTTTTTTGATCTCGCGTGTTCTGCTCTTTTTTTTGATCTCACGTGTTCTGCTCTTATGGATTGTATGGGAGGGTTAAATACAAATGCAATTTACATCTTTATTCCTTTGATTTGTTTGTGAGACCTAACAATCCAACCATCAATTGATTATGATCATAAATCAGAAGAGTTAAAAAAGGAAAAAGGAATCCAAACAATTTTCAGAAGAGTTAAAAAAGGAAAAAGGAATCCAAACAATTTAAAAGATAAACCACTATCATCGCCTAATGCAAAATCCCTCGGTGGTACATGTTGTAGCAGACACAATTAATAGTTAAGCGGTCACGGAAATCTTCAGCACTTTCTTCGATATCTTCTTCATCAGTATCATCATCATAGGTTAATGAATCATCGTCCTCGAGTTCAGCCCACTGATCGCCAAGACCGGCTAGGAGGTTGTGAAGGATTATACAACTGTACAACCAAGCGACATATGCACGCATATGTTGACGACGATACAGATGCAAACGCATCTCCCGCAATGAGCTCCATCGAGACTTGAGGACGCCAATCGTATGTTCGTTTCGAACCCTAGCCTTTGCCAAACAATAGTTAAATTGCGAGTTGATCATGATATTTGCCGCAGGTACCTTGTAAACAGGTATCACTGTATGGCTCAGCTCATACGCTGAGTCGGCCAACAAGTATTGGCCTGATTAGATAAGAGAGTGAACAATGTCAGATTGATTCCTATGCCGGAGGGAGTCATGGATGCTAACCTTCGTCAAAGTAGTTTGATGGGTTGAGATGGAGCTGCATCCTCTTGTAAACTCGGCTATCCCCACATGAGCCCGGCCATCCAGTGATGAAAGATGTGATATATTTGTCACAGTCGCAGATAATCTGGGCGTTGATTGAGTAACGTCGTTTCCGGTCGAAGAACACCTCTCCATCATAACCGGGTCGCTGAAACATTGGGATTGTAGTTCCATCTACAAACCCCACACATCCCCTAAAACCCTCCCTAGACATTACCTCGGATATCTCAGCACGTCGAGCCGCGTCAGGCCAAACCACATGGCGCCGTCCTAGTGAGATCAATGCCTCAATAACCCGACGAGATACTTTGACGACCGTCCCGCGACCCACGCTCAAGTTTCTAGAGAACCGCCCAACTGATGCTCCGTTACCATTTGATCCCAACCGCTCAAGCGTGAGTGCAAGTTGATGAGCTATTGGAAGTTGCGGACGGATCCCGCCCCGATGGAAAACCGGATTAGTGCAAATTATGTTGAGTAATCCTACAAATCCGGCCTTTGAGGTCCTTGAAGCCTGTCGGAATTCGATGTCGGGCATGTTGAACAATCGTTCGAGGTCAAATTCATCTCGTAGTTTCGGTGTCGGTCGAGGAACAAGATATCGGTTCGATAAAACCAGTCGAAGTGCTTCATCAAAAATGGCCCAATCACTGAGGAGTAGATCATACATCCGTTGTTGAATCTTGCTCCTGGGGAAAATGATTTCGGATTCAGTCGGAATTCGAATGTGGCGGAACCAACTATCAACCATGTCCTCCAGTTCCTCGTGCTCTAACCATACGATAATCAAGAAAAGATCCCGGATCAGGCATTGGCGTTCAGAATAACCTCTCATGGCCTGGAAAAAACAATTGATCAGTATGTATTTTTCAAAAAGCAGGCAAAGGGCAAAAAAAACAAAGAGAAAGGAGGAAAAAGGATTTACGTACAATTGAGTATTTATTGTGGCAGAGTGATGAGGTGCCTTCAGTGTGGAAATTGATGAGTAGAACAAGTACCGTAGTGGTGAGGTGAACGGGGGGCGGGGGTGGTAGGTGAGGTGATTTATGATGACAAGCACGCTTCCGTATGCTCGTTTGAGGATCGGTTGTTGCTCGCGGGCCAAATTACAAGTTAAAAAATTTAGTGAGGTTTGGTTGAAGGTTGCTCGTTTTGAAATTTTTAACTGCGGACGAGCAGCTACGTGAACCGGGCTAATGCGAGTGCCCTTTTTTGCCAACTGTCACCAAAAGAAAGAGAATGAGAGTATGTAGGAAAATCAAGAGCACTGACCTCAAATCATTCATCTCATCGGAATCCCCCCCCCCCCCCCCCCCCAAAAAAAAAAACAAAAACACTTCCACCCACCCAAAATAATTCAAGGTGAGGCCCGTTTTCAAATGATTGCCCCGACTTTACTTCATCGTTCTTCCAAGTCCAAACTAGTGATCAAAGCTACAGCAAAAGGAAAGGCAAGGAACCCATCAACTCCCATCAAGTCGTTCAGGATCCGCAAAGCCATTTTCATTTATCTTAATTTTTTTCTTGTTTCACTTCTGTCCTTTCCTTTTCCCTCTCATCTCTTTCATTCAATGATTGTATAAGACATCAATAAGAAGAATCTCCCTCTGTCTCATTGCTCTCCATCTATAATTTATCTTGTCCTTATTTTTATTTATTCTTATGTTATTCATTGTTCCTTGTTTTCCTTCGATTCCTCTCAATCTCATCTCTTCCTCCTTTATCAACCTGTTTCCTCAGCCAATGTTTCATTGATCGGATGCAAGATGTTGTTTTCTTTCATTTCATTTACTTTTCTTTTGATCGATCGATGTGATTAAAGAAATACAAACGTTTTTTATTTTCTTTCTTTATAATAAGTACCAGCGAGATGAAAAACAAAGGAAAGGCATTGTAATGATTCCAGTGTTACGAAACTTATTACGAAACACTTGCGAAACTATTTCGCAATCATTGTGAAAATGAGATTCGCAATAAATGCGAAACTTTGGGATTGCGGAATTTATTGCGCAATCCTTCCGAAAGTATTTCGCAAGTCTTGCGCAAAGCCTTCGGAATCCCTTTTGCAAGGGACGCAAGACTTTCGCAATCCTTTTCGCATGGGATTGCGTAACTCACCAGGACCAAGGTCGGCGACGTCCTCCCCTGCAGGCGGAGGCTGCGCAACTATTCCGAAACAATTTCGCAATAATTGCGAAATGCAGCGCCCGTAGTGTATCCTGCCCACGGAAAAATAGACCACAAGCAGATGATCAGAACCTTACAGAAATAAGTATTGCACCTGAGAATATTTGGGTCACGTTTATCTATTGCGTTCTCAAGTGATTTATCTAAACGGTGGTATCTGTTTAACATCATCATCATCAACAACATTCAAAAAAACAACACCACCACCAACAACTTCTTTTTTTTTTTAATTAAAAAAAGCAAAACTCCAACCAAAAAAAGAAGAAGTACACTCAAGATCTGAGAGAGAGAGAGATAGATAAACGAGAGAAAGTGTAATTTTTTTTAATTAAGCAAAAAAAAAAAAAGAAAATCGGTGTTTGTTGTTTCAGTGATCAGTTATTAATGAGAATATGATAATTAGAAATGAGACGAGATGATAAAAGGACAAAATAAATAAGAAGATGTAGATTATATTCTGTAGGAATGATTTGCTTTCAAATGTCTCTTCTTCTTCGCGCCCGTTTACTTTCTAATTCGTGCCATTCACCTCTGACATTTGACAATCTGATGAAAGATAAGGGAAATCAAATCAAATCAGCGAAGAGAGAAAAAAAAAAAAGCATCAAGAAGTGATGAAGAAAGATGAGGCAAAGATTGAAACTGACATCTCAGTAGGTAATTCCATCGGAGGATTTTCGGTCGTAAAGTAAGCCGACTTGAGAGCCTCACGAGCGCTCGGACGATCGTGGGGTCTGAGCGTCAAGAGGCGTTCGGCCAAGGCCATGCCAGCCTCCGACCTGACGTTCTTCTCGGGCCCGAAGAAGGTCTCTCTGAGCCTCGAGGGCTGCTCAACCTTGGGCTTGAGAAGCTCAAACCAGGGCAGGTCGAACGCCTCCGGCCAGTTCGTCATCGTCGGCGTGCCCATCAATTTGAACGTCGCATACAGCTGGTCAATCTCATCACCCGTTTGAAAGATCGGTCGTCGTGTGAAGAGTTCTAGGAATATCACCCTAAGTTCGTCCCAAGAGAAAGAGAAAAAGAAACATTTTGTCAGATTGATTACTCGCATCAAACAAACAAACAAACAAACAAAATATCCAAAATTAAATTGCTCATTACCCTGCACTCCACATATCTACTTCCTCACCATACACCGTTGCTCCCAAGAGTAACTCGGGGGGTTTATACCACAGTGTGATCACCCTATTAGTGTAATCTCTTCCCCTTCCCCTACCCTCACAACCGGCTTCTTTCCCACGTTCGAAGCGTCTGGCGAGGCCAAAGTCGGCGATCTTGAGCTGTCCATATCTATTCAAGAGGATATTGGAGCCCTTGAGATCTCGATGGAGGACACAACGTTCGTGCATGTACTGGAGACCGCAGAGTAATTGCCACATCAAGCTCTTCGTGTGAGCCTCTGAGAAATGGATATGGGGATGATGTAAAACCCCACTCAGATCATGATCCATGTATTCAAACACGATGTACACATGACTTTGACTGACGACCATCTCAACCAGATTGACGATGTTCGGATGGCGCAGATCTTGGAGTATTTTGATTTCCCTGATTGCGGTGATCGGAAACCCATCCTTTTCCGATTCCATCCTGATCCGCTTCATCGCCACCAGTTCACTCGTCTCGATGTTGCGAGCCTTGTAGACTTTCCCATACGTTCCTTCTCCAACCTGTACAAGCCGTTCATATATCTCTTTGCTCTCACAAAGATCATTCGTAATTGGCGGGGGTCCAACCACTTGTGGTTTGGATGAAGCCCCCTGGGTAGGCCGAATCCCTTGAAGTTGTTTTTGGTGAGTTGCCAGAGGCTGCTCCACGGTTTGGGATGCGCTAGGGGGTACGCTGTAGTTCTGAAAACTTGGTTCCCGGACCAATAACCTGGGTGGCGGATTGTTGGCATAGTGCGTCACATCACTGGGCGGAATCATATGTGACTCTAACGTGGGCGGGTGGGTGGCATTGTAATGGCCACTATGCATAGTGCGGTTAGTCGGGAGAGCTTTGTGCGCTGTTCCCCGGTGATCTTTTGCTGTGGTCGAGGGTAGGGGTGGGGTAGTGACATCAGGTGGCGCATGAGGTACATCCCGTCGGTTCGAGAAACGATGGGATGATCTTCGCGAATGATTATGAAAGTATTCGGCAGAGTCTTCTTCACGATAGGGATTTCTGCGAGGTGAATGCCTTGACCTTGATGTTCCACGTCGATTGCGTGTAAAGTCTTGAGCAATGAAAGAAGTTGAGGTCGTGTGGGTAGTCTCGACTGGAATTAACGGCGGTGGTGTGGGTGGGGGAGCGGCAGGGGGTGGTGGAGGTGGTAGTGGTGGAGTACAAGACAGCCTTCTGTAGTTGCGCTGTCGCAAGTAGTGATAGGACGGACTCTTTTGAATGAAACGCGGAGGCGAAGGTGGGGCCGGGGGGAGGGGAGGAGGCGAAGGAGAGGGTGGCTTGGGATCGATTTCAGCTTCTTCCACCTCAGAAAGGTCAAGGGTAGGATGCAGCTTCATGGGTTCGATGGGAACCATCACATTGTCGTCCTCATCATCATCGTCACCTGGGAAAAACCGACGAACACCAGCACTGGTTTGCGCGACGGGTGCCGTAGGTGGCATTCCAGGAGCCTTTCGAACGGCATGGACATTCGGGCGTAACCGTTTCGGTGACCGCGGAGGCTGCGGGATAGCAGGGGGTGGTGATATGGGGAGAGGCGCTTTATTGGGAACGTTGTTGGGATCCACAGATTCCACTTCTTCTTGAGAAGCTTTGGGAACACCATCCAAATCAGTCTGATTAACAAACCCAGGGCGTTGAGTGGGCGGTGAAGGTGGTAGTGGAGGAGGTGAAGGATCTCTCTGCCGATTTGATTCACGCGCATACCATCGATCACCATCTCGACGCTGTCTGACCGTATCTAAAACTGCAAATCTGGGCCCGATGGGAGGCCGGGGAGGTATGGGTGGAGGGCCTATATCGGTTTCAATTGATCTTCGCCGACGGTAAGTACGTGATCTCTTCGGAGATCGAGGGCTCGAAGAACGTCCACGAGAGCTACATGTACGGCTGAGAGAGCGATGTGGGCGTCTGGAAGACGAGGAAAATCTGCGATCGGAGGACGTGCGCGGACTTCGTGAGCGTGAGATGGAGCGCCTCTCAAATGGTGTTCGCGAATAACCGCTAACCACACTTCGACTTATCGACCTGTGCCTAGGTCTGCGGTTGTCAGATCTCGAGCGACTCCGGGAACGTCTTGGGGAGCGTGAACGCTCCGTAACATCACATGGTCGTCCATCTAGGGAAGAGCCTGAAAACTCAGACGGTGGGGTTCTTGATCTGAAGGATCGAGGCCGCCGAGGAGGACGAGGAGACTGAGAAGGTGATTTCGAATGCAAGGAGTCGTATGCCAGGACCTCACACTCTCGAGCAACAGGGGTGGGCCGCAGCTTGCATTTAGGTGGACGAGGGAGCTGAGGGGGGACAGGTGAAGGTGAACGGACCGGATGATAATGAAGGTCGGTTGAATTCGAATGCGAGGATGATCGAGACTTGGCTCGGGAGTCTGAGCAAGATCTAGCTCGTGAGCGTGAGCGTGATCGAGAGTGACCACGACTCGGGGTTCGAGAGCGTGATCTTGATGGCGTAGTCGATCGCGTAAGACCTGTTTCACGATTCCGCGAACGACTTGAGTGGGGAATTGGGAGCACAGCCGATCAAAGACGAACATTGGCACCAATAGAGATCAAATGTGTCAGCAGATCAATCTACCAGTTGTGAATATCTCCGCCAAGATTTTTCAGTACTTCTGGAAAAAATGACTATGCCGAGGTGTTGACTAACCTATGGGAGCGATAGTCCAACTTGCGACGTTTAGAAATCCTATCGTCATTTCTGTCAAGCATTGAGGATCTGCGTGGATCAAAGGGCCTCCTCATAGGCGATTTACTAGGTGAGGGTGCGGCACGAGGACTGTAAGGCCGCCTGTGGGAAGATGAAGATTGATAATGTTGGCCTTGATGGCGCGAGCGAGTCGAATAATCACTCTGTCTGTTGCTCGTCCACCTGTCGTAAGAGAAGTGCTGGTGTCGATCAGAGTACCGACGAGCTGATTGATCTCCTGGTCGGTAATCACGGCGCTCGTTACCATCTCGACTGAATCCAGTCTCGTTGTCGTTATGGTTGGATCGGGGCCGATAGCGCTGATAATGATTAGTGAGATTGCGGTCTTGTTGCTGCACTCTGGCTCGATACCTGCCCCGGTCATTATCATGCCCGGTTCTGCCATTACCTTCGTAAGGAGGACGCTCATCCAAGTCATCATCACGAGCATGATCCTGATCACGAGCCTGAACCCTTGAACGGTTCCCATCGTACTTTCTATTCACCTCCCGGTCCTGTGAGCGATCTCGGCGCCTGTATCTGTTACGATCGACATGGTTCTGTCCAGATACGTGATGGGAGTTCCCATTGCGTGCATAGTTGTAAGTCTTCTGCCTCGATGGGGATACTGAGCCACTACGATCAGGTTCAACTGGGGAGTGGTCTCGACCAGCTTGTGGTTCGGTTGGTTCTGCGGATAAAGACCGCTCACGATGACTCGATGGGTAATTGGTCCTTGAGACAAGAGTCATTAGAGTAGGCTCTAAGATTGAAGTGGAGCGATTCGATGAATCTGGTCACCCTGCATCCAAATACAAGGAGGATGAGTTGTGTCTGATACCACTGTGGGGACGAAGAGAGATGCAAGTTTGAGGAGACTAAGATTCAGGATAGTTCCCTGTAGAGTGGAGTTGAACGATGCGATAGGAAGGGAGAGAAAGAAACGGTCTGTGTTCTAAGGGTGGGCAGAGGGAGTCTGTATCACAGGTCAGTGAGGGGAGGAGCGGGTGGTGGGGAAGAGGAGATGGTAGGGTGGGCAGTCGGGGCAGCTCACATGAAGTATATACGTATTTGAGTGAATGGAATGTTACCAATCGATCAACGCCTCAGACCGAGAAACGCAGGTGGGGCGATGTTGAACGATGGTAGACAGGCTGTGAGCTCGACAACAGACGGTTAGGGTAAGCAATGGGTCCGGCCAACAGAAAATTCTAGGCAATGTAAAGTTTTAGACCCAGCAAGGAGAAGGGTGAGACCAAGTGCGGGTACACAGAGAGACTGACTCAAAATTTATCCCAGGGGAGGAGAGAAGGGAAAGAAGACGGAGGCAATATGTGTAACATATATTGGAAAAAGACTGACCGTATTTTGAAAGGAAGATGTTGATGTATCGACGATAGGGCCAGGGTTCTTTCGGAAGGTGGACTTTAGGACTTGTCCGGGTTTTTTGATTTGAAAAATCTGTTGGGTTCAAGTTTCAAGGCGAGATTGTGTTGGTTCAGTTTACAGGCTGCCCAGATGAATCGAGTCCAATTTTGAAAAAAATTTCGGTGGTAATTTTATGTTAATTTTTATTTTTATTTGTAATTCTTTTGTGATTTCTCGTTATCAGATCGATGCCACGCCTGGAAGACGACGACCGCTGCGATGTGTGCTGCCGGCCGTTTTTTGTCATTTTTTGGTGTGTCTCTGCCACCGCTCCCACTTGTACTGACTGGCACTGCAGAGTTTTTTTTAATCGAGACTACCAAAACATCACTCAACTAGACTCACCCTTGGATCAAAAAATCAACTTGATAATCGACCTCTTCGGTTCGGCGTCCTCCCCGAATCTCTGGTCTCCAAGAGGATGCTTCTCGAGATCCTTCTTGTTCAATTCTTTTGGATTCGTTCCGGGTTATTTAAGGAGGATTCGTTCCAGGCTGTTTGAGGAGGATTTGATCCAGGTTGTTCAAGGAGACCAGTTCGTAAGAATGAGACTGTCAACATACACCAATCAAATCGACAGAAACTAGCGACCAGACAGACAAATAAATACTTGCGTACTCGTAACTCTCTCTCTCTTGGTGGTGGTTCTTCAGAATCACGTACAGATAACAGTTATTTCAGAGCGAGATATTTATGTTCGTGGTGAGCTTCCTCGAGTGCCTGATCGTTGGGTCCGTCAAACATCTGCTGATGACCTCCAGGAGATACAATCCAAGGTGATGAGGATCGAGAACAAACGTGTTGGACTTGAGAATGGACAGGTCAACACCCTGCTGTGTCAAATCCCATGTGCTCAACTTTTAGCCAACACCCCCTCCGGTGGCTGCATCCTGGTGAAACCATCTGTGACAGCGATGTGTCAGCTGACCCCACAGGTTGCACCACCACTGGTTCTTCGAAGAATGAATCCAATTCCAAGCAAGCTGAATTATGTATCATCAAGTTAAAAGAACTGACTGGTCTCTAAACACACACAGACATACTAGGGCAGTTCACAATGGGAACTTGCATATCAGTTTACTGATGCTGATGATCAAACTAAAATTCTTAAACATCGAGATTGAAGTGGTCCTGATATGTTTCTGATGAATGTGAAATTTTCCGAAAATTTTAACATCAGCATCAGCAAAGTGATGTCCAAGCTCCCAATGTGAACTGCCCTCCTGGCCAATCCTCAAATAATAAAGCATTCCTGAGTCTGATTCATGGTAAGTCATGTTTTTCTTCAAGAAGAATTCTCATCACTCTGGATCTGACATTAGAACTTCCCCAAAAATGGGCTTCCCCTTGTCATGTGTACATCAAATCTCAAAATCACTCTTCTATTCTCATTATAATTTTATGAAACACATATATCATCAAGTGATATTACATGTGAATTTAACAAACTAGTCAATCAGTAATCTGAACAAAAAATGAAGCTTCAAGCTTGGAATTTAGAAAGGAAATCGAAACATGCATTATAAGGTTCACTATTTACAATTTTATTATTTTTACTTTTTTGAAATGAATCATGAAATCAGAAGGAATATCGGGTTCTTCACATTATGAACGTGGTATCTACAATTTTTCGTGATTGAGGCTTGAAGATTTGAAACATGGTCATAAGAAAATCTTCAGCACTAAATTTAACTTCATGATGTCTTCGATTTGAATCGGATTGGACTCCCCGTTTCTGGTGAAAATGGAGTTCTTTCGAGTCGGGGACTAGTTCAGATTTGACCTATGTACAATATAACTGCTCAATTTTCGAACACTTGACTTGTGACAGTATGTACAGTGACTTGGTTGGTTGGATGGCTCTGCTTGTATTCCTCTAGTGAGAAGTCCTTCAGGGTGCCATTGGGAGTTGCAATCAACGAGTTTCGGAGTGCGTTGATGGACAAACTTCTTTCTCTCACGAGTGAAAAAACTGCCCAAGCATTAACAATTCTAGAATCAGTATGTGATCAGTTTTGTCTTGAGGAAACAAACCTACCAAGGCTTGCATACCCCACCGGGATCCTCATGAGGTTGAGTAACACGAAGCATCCAGTCATTCCCGGACTAGGCGCGTCCGGAATGAGGAAATCGACGAGAAAGATCAAGAAAGCGGTGAGGATGATCAAAGAACTCAAGCCCGAGGTTTGAAGCGCCACGACACCTATTTTGGTCAAGATGTGATCATAACTGGAGCGGCAGAGGAAGGGAAGAAATAAATGCAATCGTGAGCGTTAGAATAAAGCCTTTGCACCCGCACCCTACACTCAAGTCAAACTGATTAAAAAGTGAGGACATTACTTGAGAAAGCGGATTGGTTTCTCTTGATCTAAAAGGCGTGCACTACGTCTTGAGTAAAGATTCCCGCCCACAATGACCAACTCGGCTAGCAAAGAAGTTCCGAGCCAAGCTGCCAAAATTTTGCTTTCCGGTTGGAAGCTGGGTAACCCGGTTTGGGATAGATCGATGTCTTCAGATGGTTTACTCAGCTTGATTACTTCGAGCCGGCAAAAGTCGTAAAATGTTAATAACTCAAGATAAACAAATTTTGATCTCAAATTTAATTTGTATCATCAATAGCGAGAAAGGGACTTACAGATGGTTATCGTACAACCCCATGAAGTGAAGAAGTTTATTACACAGATGAGTAGAAAGACGACCGTCCAAGCCTTCTTCCCGAATTGTTTGACAAATAGCTTCATGTAATATACTTGAACCAGGAATTGCACGCAGCTGGATAACGAGAGAAGCGATTGGAGTCAGTAAAATCCAAGCTTGATGTGGCTCAAAGCGTCTCTGTAGACTTACCCGATGATTGCTGGAGTTGAGACCTGAGCAGCTGAAGGCCGTTCCAAGCTTCCTATACATATTCAAAGAGGTTCCGATGGTGATCAGTCTCCTTCAATTGGTTAGATCATCAAGGTCACTTTGGACACCTACTCAACACCTCATTTCCCTGAGGCATGATGCTAGCGTAATTTTCTCGAAGTATGATCACGATGAATGCTAAGGCTAAAAACGTCACGGCGTTTACTCCCCAGCGAAACGTTAGAGAGACATGTCTTGAGTAGTAGGCATGATCCAAGGCGATACCGGTAATCAGAGCACTAACAACGTAATTGCGGGATATCATTCCTTTCAGTCATTTCACCAAGCTCATCTCTGCATTTCAAGGGGATAATCACTCACGAAATTGGGGCTGCAAGAAGGTAAGCCACAGAGTAGAAGAATTTTTGCTCTGGCATTTCTTCTTCTTCTTTTCCTATATAACAATATAATAATGGCAGATTGAGTTTGCGAGGATCAGAGTTAGGAAGCTGATTGGCCTATTGGTCAATCCAGGATTCTGTGAGAGTGTTTTGAAGCCGAAAGGATATAACAACTTGCGACTTTCTGGTTGGTCTCTCCAGTATGGTCGAGAGGGTATTAGAAACCTACTGACTCATATAGGCATAATTACACCCAGGACAGCGTTTGGAAAGCTAATATGTTTTTGAAGCCTTTCAGAGATCGGTGGGTGAAGATACAACAGGATTAGCAGAATTCGAGCTGAGATTTTTGTTTTTTAAAAAAGAAGAAGATCCAATTAATTATCAGACTAGTTTGTTCAACAAATCAGCCTTTCTCGTGAAGTTCTTTGAGTAATAAGGTCCAAAGAAACGCTTCTATGAGGATTATATGAGTCAGCTTGAGGTTTTGGCTCAGCGGTTACTTCGACGGAATCGGCTCACGTGGATTCTCATATGAAATTAAATTAATCAAGGAGCCCAGGAATCTACAACAGACTTCACAGTTATCGCTTCTCACCGCATACGGCTAGAAACCGAAGGAATTATCGGCTTCCCCCCCCCCCTGTTGCCTCGGTTGGTAACAGCAATAGTGCAAGCTCAAGTTTCCCCCCCTTGGGCGTCAGATTGGTGAGTCAGCATGAATTTACTTGATCGTCACTGATTGGTAAAGTTCTTTTGACTTTTGAAGTTTGGGTGCCATGTCAACAATGTCTGGTGGTCATGACGCCCCTTGTGATGGGGGTGGCATTTATACTACCGTCTGCAACCAAAAACTCGAAAGTAGAACATCTGGATGGGGTTCAGCTTGCGGTAAGCAAACACTAAGTTGGAACACAAGCTCCGCAAAGCTGCCGAAGGAAAGAACTGTATTAAGGGTGATTATCCAACCAACTCCGCTTCATCACTTCCCAGGGTATCTCCTTTGGCATGTGTATATGGGTCTGTCGGAAGTCTTGAGGTGGCGCAAGCTTAGGAAGGTCGCCGTGATTGACAAAAGAAACCCTTGTGCATTGGGTGTCGGACTCAGCGGTGTATTTACAGGAAAAAATGATAATCTGATAATTCAACGCTCATGGACATCTTCAACCTGGGATGTATTCACATCGGCGCGTTCGGAAGCATGTGCTCTCTTGTTTGCAGAACCTGACATCTCAACAAGAGACCGTTGGACTACATCATTCCAGTAAACCTGGACCCATGCCAGATGTTCAAAGATCCGTAAGATCCTATGAAGAGGGACATGGGGAGATGATCAATGCTCCATTGAGCCCGGTGTGATAGGGTCGGGCTCAGATCAGCTTATCGCCGATATTGTTAAGACACCAGAAAACCATCAAACTCTCATGCTATTGCTTGCTCTCCTCTCAAATTCAAGTCCCCACATGATGAATCAAACTGGCCATTCATCTCCCCCTTTAGCACTTATCGTATTCGGAGTGCTTGGGGGACCGACAACAAGGCTCTCGGGCCCGCCTAGGCCAAACCTGTTGGACTCAGGACAAGCCTAAGGTATCAGCCAGACAGCGAAGGCTGGCCATGGAAGACGCAGAGAAAGGGAGATGGCGAGCAGTGGGCGGGATGCCTCCGAACCGGTCAGCTCGTTCAGACCGAACCAAGTCCAACCCCAGATGGCTCTCAGCTCGGTGAGCTGGTCAGATAAATGTACGTGCAGCTGGATCAATCCCGGTCCGGCTGGACAATTTGTGCGATTGTACCTACTTTCCAATACGAATCCCGCTGCTGCCTTCAGCCATCTTGTTGGTCGGATTGGAATCTCAGCCTTTTAGCCACTAATCTCTGTCTTGCCATCTTCTTTTTGTCCGGCTGTCTGCCATCTCTGAGCACTAGCATGGACTGCACCGGTTTTTCTGTGATGGTCAAGTTTCCCCTGCTTGGCTTCCCCACCACTATAAGGCACCATCCACACCACCCGTTAAGAACTCATCCATTCCTCCTCTGCTCACTTATTTACTTACCACACCACATCACCATAACATCTGTCTGAGATCATCCAACCGCCTGACTCCCCAAGCCTTTAGCTTTACTCTCTAATTCACTCCTCATCGCTCACATCCTTCCCTGTCCAGCCCAACATCTGTTAACCACACCTAATTACTTCCCTTCCTCTACCTGCTGAGTCTATCCCCTCGTGCCAATTCATTGAGCTTCACATTTACCACTCTTTTCCACACTCGCTCTACACTACCTGCTACGGCATCCCATCCGCATCCAAGTTTTCACGTCCTTGAACCTCTTCTACTCACATCATAACGGTCGCTCTTCTTCTGCCCTTCGCGCTTTATCTGTCATGTAAGCATATCCAAAAACTTTTCTGCTTCATCGACGCGATATTGATTTGAGTCTTTTGCATGCCTTCAGCTGTCTAGATCACACTTCTCGAACTTCACCCTCGTACCTCTCCCTCCTTCCCTGCCACCATGCTCGTTTCAAGTGAAGTCGCCAGGTCTGCCCGTGCTCAACATGCGCGCCGCATCATCTCCCTTCAATCTCAACACCACACGTCCCTCTTATCTCCCCGGGCTTCGTTATCCCAAATGTCGAGTCGTCCTAGTCGCCGGGAAGAACCCGCTGGTGAGATTGCTGAGAAGCTCTGCTCCAGCGGACCCTGCCGATTGGAAAACTCATTGCATTCATTTATCGAGCATCTCCTCACTCCACGGAATGACAACGCCCTATCGGATGAGCCTGAGCTCAACCTTCCCGTACACAATCGCGCTGCCAAGAAGGCCAAAAAGCACAAGAAGAAGAAAGCTGGCAAGCCCCATCACCATAATGCGAAACCCATCAAACCCGCAGGCCACAAGGCTCACAAACTCATCAAGCCAATGGCCAAAAAACTCATCAAGCCGGCGAAACCCGTCAAACACCTAACACCCGCGAAACCGCTACCCATCAAAGCGGCTCCTCTCAAAAATTTGAAGCCCCTAAAGCCTCTCAAAAAACTGCATACCCCAGCAAAGCCCGCTAAACCACTCACCCCCGTCAAGCCATTGCCTATCAAAGGAATTCCGCACAAACCAGTGAAGCCGCTGAAGCCTGTAAAAGCGCTACCGACCCCAGCAAAGCCTGGCAAGCCACTCACCCCTGTGAAGCCACTACCAATAAAAGGGCTCCCGGTCAAGCCATTGAAGCCGCTAAAGCCTCTGAAAGCGATTCATACCCCAGTAAAGCCTGGCAAACCACTGACGCCTGTTAAACCACTGCTCATAAAAGGCCACCCTCTCAAGCCGTTGAAGCCTCTGAAGCCTCTTAAAGGGCTACATATCCCAGTAAAGCCCATCACACCACTCACTCCTTCGAAACCACTCCCCATAAAAGGCCTGCCCCTCAAGCCGTTGAAGCCGCTGAAGCCTCTCAAAGGGCTAAAGCCCATCAAACCACTCACTCCTTTGAAACCACTCACTCCTTTGAAGCCACTCACTCCTTTGAAGCCGCTACCTGTCAAAGGCGTTCATCCTAAACCCTTGAAGCCACTGAAGCCCATCAAAGTGCTTCCTATCCCACTAAAACCTGTGGCGCCACTCATCCCATCAAAACCCGCAGCACTACTCATCCCATCAAAACCTTTGGCACCGCTCACTGCTGTGAAACCCCTTGCCATCAAACCACTGCCTCTTAAGGCATTGAAGCACTCCAAGCCTGTCAAAGCCGTACCCATCACACCTCACGTCCCCGTCCTCAAAGCTCCAATTCCGAGCAACCCCCCCGTTGTAATACCCGCTAAGCCTGCACAAATCCCTGCGACACTTCCTGTAACCTTACCACTCAAGGCCCCCGTCCTCGCCGCACCTGTTGCTCATGCTCCTGTTAGCAATCCTCCCGCAGCAATTACCACCAAGCCTGCTCAAATCCCCGCTACGCTTTCATCCCTCAAGGCCCCCGTTCTCGCCGCGCCTGTCGTTCATGCACCCGTTAAGCCGGCAGCCGTGGTGCCCACCAAGCCACTGGTAGCTCCTCCCATCAAGTCTTCTCCTCTGACTGTAGCTGCGCCCTCGGCTCATCCGCCAGCAAAGACTATTACTCCTGTTCATACCACCATACCTGCTGCTCCTGTGGCAATTTCCGCTAAGCCTGCGCAAATCCCCGCCGCGCTTCCTATCACATTGCCACTCAAGGCCCCCATTCTCACCGCGCCTGCCGCTCATGCACCTGTTAAGCCGGCAGCCGTGGTGCCCACCAAGCCATTGGTAGCTCCTCCTATTAAATCTTCTCCTCTGACTGTAGCTGCGCCTTCGGCTCATCTGCCCGCACAGACTATCACTCCTGTTCATGCCGCCATATCTGCTGCTCCTGTGGCAATTTCTGCTAAGCCGGCCCAAATCCCCGCCGCGCTTCCTAAGGCCCCCATTCTCACCGCGCCTTCAGTTCATTTTCCTGCTAAGCCGGCAGCCGTGGTGCCTATCAAGCCATTGGTAGCTACCCCTATCAAGTCTTCTCCCCCGGCTTCTCAACCTCTGCCTGCACAGACTATTGCTCCCGTTTATGCCGCCGCACCTGCTGTTCATCAGCCACCGCTCACTCCCATCAGCGCCCTTCCTGTTGCAACACCTCTCAACCACACGGCTACACCTATCCCATCAGCGCATTCTGACAATGCCGCTAGCACATCACAAACATCTCCAGGGCCTTCAACAGTTCAGGCAGCTGCCGTCCAGTCATCTCCACTCCTCATTCCCATCCAACCCATTCCCACTAACCAGACGACTGCTTCACCTATCACCTCGGCAAATGTTGCGCAAATCGGTGCAGCATCAACGCCCGCAGCCTCCGAAATACCACTTCCTCAAGCGCCACCAGTTCAAAATACCACTTTACCTGCTGTAGCAGGTGAAGTTCCTCAAGTACCATCTTCACCTCAGCCCGAGGGCCCGACAACCGTCGCTGAAAACTCGACCCCTCTACCAGCTTCCTCACCCCCTTCGCAAGATCCGGCACCCTTGTCGGTTGCCCCTTCACAGGATCCAACACCCGCAATCCCCGACTCTATCGCTCCCTTGCCACAAGAAACTGTGCAGGTGGTCGACACACCCTCTCCTGCCGCAGTCGATACCACCAGCTCAGATGCACAGCCATCGCCTGTCCTAGACGTTCAAAGCGCTAATGCCACCGATTCTCAACAAAGCCCTCCACCAGCTTCTTCACCCTGGTCGCAAGATTCGACACCCTCATCGGTTGCCACTTCGCAGGATTCAACAGCCCCGATCACCGACTCTGTCACCGCCGCATCACTGCCAGCTTCTTCGCCACAAGAAACTGTACAGGGCTCCGACACTCCCTCTCCTGCCACAGGTGACAGCACCAGCACAAATGCCCAGCCAGCGCCTGCACTTGACATCCAAAGTTCTAACGCCACCGATCCTCAACAACCTTCCCCTTTCATCAATGCCACCACCCTTGACTTGGCCACTAATGCGACATTGTTAAACAATGGAACCCTCCATAACGGCACAGAATTTAATAACGCTACCTCACTGGTCAACAACTTACATGGCTTGTAAGTTTATTTCTCAACATTAGTCAATCGATTACATTTGCTTACAAATTTTCTTCCTGACATTCAGAAAACTAGGGAACACAGCTCCTAGCGGATTTGCTACCCCACCATCAAACCATATCGGTGCAGCCGTTGGCGGTGTTTTAGGATCCGCAGCTTTCATCGGTTTGGGATTGGCTGCATTCCTTTCTATCTCTCGCCGCCGCCGTCGCCGCATACAAAAGGTCGACAACGGCTTTGGAACATTCATGGACGCGCCCTCCAAAGCATCCTCATCCGGGATGACTCTCCCTTAGAACAGACAATGTCTTCAGTCAACTGGATCACTTGTTGCTTTTCTCCTTCTTCTTCTTTTTCAATAAAAATAATGAGCTTAATTTAATTCAATTTAATATTATTTCATTTCCTAGTGGATGTTGATCTTGTCTTTCCTCTATCTCTCTACTCTCTATCTGTCTGACCTTGGATCATCATCATCTTGTTTTCTCATTTCGAATTTGATCGCTAAAACTTGTTCAACTCCTTTTAATTATCACTTTCATTATCTTTCCCAAAAGCAATCCAATGATTCACAATATCCAATTCTCTCTTGTCTTGATTGACCGTCAACTGGCATCCCACATTGGTTCAGAGTGGCGTTGCCTGTTAGAATATACCCAGTATATAGTCCGCAGATTAAAACAAGTTCGCAATAATCCAGCAATCCGCCAATTCTCATATGCATTAGGACGGTTCACGTCTTGATTTTTAGTCACTTTGCTGAAAAAAAAAACTGCTGCTTTTGTAAAATTTTATTCAAGTCTTAGAGATAAATGCACAACCAAGCTTGCTGGTTAGAGTAAACATCAAGAAAGTTGGGTTAAAAACTCAGGGCCCCAGCTGCTTTTCACTAATCACCGATCACCTCTCACCATTCACAATCAACCATCAACCATCACCAACATAGGCTTTTGTCAGGAATATTCAGGTAAGTCAATGACTGCTCCACATTCAAGGCTTGATAGGCCTATCATCTGATACAATCGTCATCCAGCCTCTATATATTACCTCACAGAGACGATGGATCCCTCCTCACAGATCGATCCCTTGTTGGACTCAGCGGCACCCATACCTTTATCGACTGAGCTGCTACCCCCCTTGGGGATTTCACAACATGCTACCCCTAATTCTAGTAATCCGACTGCCCCAAAAAATAAGGCTCAACGATCTCGTCGCACCAACGCTCAGATGATCGTCTGGCGATCCGAACAAACTAAGCTCAATCGAGCCAGGGCAGAACACCGGCAAATGGCCAGGATTGTCAAAGAGAAGGCTAAACCATCTCCCAAGAAAAAGAAATCAACAACTACCACAAGCTACTTGGATTCTTCAAAGAATTCAGATCGTGGAAAAAACTTTGTCTACGAGGACTTTGAGAACATCTGTAGCTACCTTGAAAACTCTCAACATCGATCGGATTTGTTTGGAGAAGGAGAGAAGACTAGCGTTGGGGCTGCCAAGCTAACCAAATCAAAGGCTTTTGAGGTTTTGCTGCTTGGATGAACCAGCACAATCCAGAACTCTTTCTCAGTGGAAGGCGACTCCAACAACGACTCTCGTCTTACAAATCAAAGTACGTCGAGGCCAAGAATTTTGAGGAGGGAACCGGGGCAGGGATTCTAGATAAGGATGGACCTCAGACCCTAGCTGAGGTTCTAGACGGGAAGTGCCCTTGTTTTGATCGAATCGATGCAATTTACCGTGAGAAGCCAAACGTCATCCCAATGCTTGAGTTCGATCACTCTCAACCCGCTGCCACTTTACCTCCTGCAAATGAGCTTACCGACGACGATGAAGATGATTCCTCTGAAGATATTATCTTTGAAGGCCAGAAGAAAACTCAAGCCAATCAACCACGGGGCGGTGTAATGGCTGAAGACCCAATTTCACTGGCTGACCACTCATCCGAAGATCAAGCACTTCCATCTGAGCTTTCGTCAGAAGAGTACTTGCTACCAGACACGCTCTCATTACCAGATCTTGTAGCCGAACAGTCATCAAAATGCCCAACAGCAACCACTATCCCTCATCAACCTGTTGCAGTACGTCTCCCTAGTGCTCCTACAGCAAAGATCAAGCCACCGCAACCAAATGTTACACCCCATAGTCCAGCACCTAGCACCCTCCGAGTATCCCGCGGAAATAAGCCTGGCCCTTCAACTCAACCCGATCCTTTGGCTCGAGGCAGTCATGCACCTGAGCCTAAATCAAAGATGACGTTGGCATCATCATTCACTCAGGGAAACGATCGTAAATTCAATTTACTTGATAAACAGCTTGAAATCGATCAGTCAAGGCGGGGACGGGAGGCTTCCCAAGCGGAGAGAGAACGAAATCGAGCTGACAGAAAGGACGAACGCGAATCTTCAATTATGGAAAAGAGGCTGAACTTCGATGAAGCCAGACTCAAACGACAAGATGACAAAGAAGAAAAAGCAGCTTCGGAGGCCAGCAAGAAGGAGGACCGGCTCCGAGGTGAAAGGAAGGAGATGGTCACAAGCATGATGGCGGAGGGGAGAAGCACCAGTGATATTGCAGCCTTGGTCAAATTGGTTTTCGGCTAATTCACTGCTTGTTGTTTTTTACTGTCTCATTTGATTTTTTATCGACTGGAAGCAGTTTTTTTTATTGAGTTCTTAAGATCTATCATGGCTGTTCTAAACATATGTACAAGATGCTGGTTTTGAATGAGGAACATGAAATTTCTGAGTGTGTATGTCTAGTCTACTTGAAACAAGACCGAATACTAAGGTGATTACAATACTAAGGAATGAGAATGATGACACCCTCTAGCCTGTCAGACCAGTCGGTCAGGAAAGAGGAAGGTTCCTCCTCTCTAGCATGTCAGACCAATCGGTCTGAAAGAGAAGAGGCTAGCATGTCAGACCGATTGGTCTGAGAGGAAAGAGGAGGAACTATAGCATTGCAGACCGATCGGTCCAGAGGAGGCACTACCACACTGGTGAGAGGAGGAGGGTCCTTCCTCTCTAGCCTGTCAGACCGATCAGTCTGAGAGGGCAGAGGAGGAGGAAACCTCCTCTCTGGAGAGGAATGAAGACCGATTGGTCTGACAGGCTGGAGAGGAATGAAACCTCCTCTCTAGCCTGTCAGACCGATCGGTCTGAGAGGGCAGAGGAGGAGGAAACCTCCCCTCTAGCCTGTCAGATCGATCGGTCTGAGAGGGCAGAGGAGAATGGATTGATCTGATGTCGAAGAGTAGTTTCAGGGTGGCTTGATGGGCCGGGGGCAGCCTGCGGATCCGTTTGGACAACAACCTGAAGGCTTCTTCACGTGATTCTTCGAGTTGTTGGGAGAGACTGGCCCGTCTGGTGAGGAGTAAATTTCATCGCCCTCGATGGTAAATGATAAAACGAGACCAGATCGGTAATCAAATGAGTTGTCGGATTCTTAATTCAAAAATCGATCGACCGAGTCCGTGGTTTGGGCCGAGAGCACTGATTCGATCGGCAACCTCATCACCATTTTGAGCTCCGATCTGAATTTGAAAAAGAGGAGGAGCAAGTTGTTCAAAGCAGTTGACCGTTGGTCTTGCTTAGTCGGTCTCCTGGAAAGTGCAAAGTCAATCACAGCCAGGCCCAGTTCAACTTCTGACAAAAGCATCAAGAATGAAAGCTAACTAAAGAATGATTACTCACATCGTCTGCTAAAATTATTTGTTGAGTTAACTAGACAGGCAGTACTCCCTTCTCATAGTTGTATGCCACACAATCCCTTGTCAGTCGTTCACGGAATGCCACATCGTTCGCGTCCGATGGTTCCTCTGGTGTTGCGGGTAAGGCCAAGGTAAGATTTTGATCTTCTTCTGACAACTCGAGCCATTGATCCCCCAGTTTGGCCAGGAGGTTATGGAGGACGATGCAACTATAGATCCAGGCCGTGTATTGTCGCATGTGTCCTCGGTTGTAGAGATGTAACCGCATTTCCTTCAATGAGCTCCATCTTGCCTTGAGAATCCCAATAGTATGCTCGTTTCGCACTCGGGATTTGGCCATACAGTAATTGAAGTCAGTGTTGATTGTAATTTCTGCTGCCTTCCCCTTATAAGCCGGAATGACAGTGCTGCTTAAATCGTATGCTGAATCTGCAATCAAATATTGGCCTATTCACACCAGGAAAGGATCCAGTTAGTTAAGAAGCTTGATATAACTTGTAAGACTGCACTTTACCTTCATCGAAGAAGTCATAGGGGTTCAGATTCAGCTGCATCCTCTTATAAACCTTGCTATCGCCAACAGTACCTGGCCAACCGGTTATGAAAGATGTGATGAATTTGTCGCAATCGCAGAGTATTTGAAGATTCAGGGAGTATCGTTTTTTTCGATCAAAGAAGACTTCTCCATCGTACCCCGGTCGTTGGAACATGGGTAAAGTCGTACCATCTACAAAACCGACACACCCTCCGAAACCTTCCATTCGCATAACCTCAGAAATCTCAGCACGACGGTGTCTGTCCGGCCATTGAACGTGGGTTCTTCCAATCGATACAAGAGCCTCGATTACTCGCCGTGAGACTTTGATTACGGTTCCTCGGCCCACTTGCAAGTTACGTGAGAATCGGCCAACCGATGCACCATTTCCGTTCGATCCAAGCCTCTCAAGAGTTAGAGCCAGTTGATGCGCTATTGGGAGCTGAGGTCGGCGGCCCCCCTGGTGAAATACCTCGTTACCAGCGATGGTGTCCAAGACCATAACAAATCCATGCTTAGTTGTCCTTGCAGCCTGCCGGAAGTCGTTGTCAGGCATGTCAAACAGCCTTTCCAAGTCAAATTCTCCTCGTGATTTAGGTGCCCGCCGTGGATTGAGGTATCTATTTGACAAAACAAACTGTAACAGATCTTCGTACTCAACGTTCTCCCCAAATAATGTTTTCATGATTGATTGCAACATCTGGCTTCGCGGAAAGGCCAATTGAGTGATATCCGGTAGATTCCTGATACCAACAGCGTTCTCAACCATCGTGTCAGTCTCTTCATTTTCTAACCAGACAAGTATTAATAAGATGTCACGAATGAGGCTTTGCCGTTCGGAATACTGCCGCATAATTCTGCAAGTCTGTTGTTAGTAAGGCAAAGTACTTATGCAAGAAAAAATTCAAACTACATACCAGAATTCCGAGGAGACTGTGAAAAAGTTGGGAGTTATGGTTGATTTGGCAGTGTAGTAGACCTGGTGATGGATGATGGATAGTTTTGTAGTGTGGAGAGTGCGAGAGAGGGGTCAAAGCAGGTTGGATGTACAAAGATGTGGCTGTTCCGCTGTTTCCATCTGATTGTAATTGCTGAATCACATAAATATTTAAATTAAATTAACACATTTTTTTATATCATCATGCTGGTTCTGTTTCAGCAAAGTGACTAAAAATCAAGACGTGAACCGTCCTATTGACACTTGACCGAATCGTAACCCAATCTGGTCACATTCCCGCCATAGTGCCTGATGATAGACTACCATGCTGAATCGCTTGAACTCAAAAGGGATTGTTTATGTAAGATGGTCGAAATGCCCTCACCCTAGCCTGAATCAGCCGCCAAATCAGCCGGCCGCGTCGCGCTCCGGGGTTCCACGACGGAACTCGGCCGGGCGGCTCCGGTAAAGATCGAGCAAGCCTGATAGTCAAGGCTCTGTGGCGATTTCAGACGTCCAATCAGGTTTTCATGAGCGATTGACCCGGGGTGACCCTGACCTGCAGAGAACGGTGCACGTGAAATGATTGATGGGATGACGTCAGTCAAGGTTCCGATTCTTAAGATCACAGCAAAGCAGGTTTCACAAAGTCGAACCAGCCCCCATCCAATCGATTTCCTACCCCCTTTGACCATTCAATTGCACTCATCATCTCTCTCAGTTTGAGAAACTCCTCACTTTAACACTTTTATAAACCAAATAAGCACAATGTCGACCCAATGTAAGTCATCTTGTCGCTTTGAATGGCAGTCCAACTCAACTAAAAACAACTAAACTGAAGGAACCAAACTTACTTGACAGCGAAAACCATGGCTCATGCTAATGATGGCGATCAGAAGAATGCGTCGCAGGCAGAAACGCAAGAAAGCAGAGTGAGTTCGGTTTTACTCCAACGTTGTCTGATGTCCTTTGTTTGATTTTTCAACTTCAGACAGCAACTCTGCAAACAATCCGCCATGAGTTGTATTTGTGTGGAAGGTAGAATGGACACTGAATATTTCTTGCCTCTCTTCCATTCTAAATTAAACTTTGGACTATCAGTATGAGGCTGGACAATTGCATTCACATCTTGGAAACGATCCGAAGGACCAACGATCGATTGCCAATCGATTAGAATCCGAATTGAGGAAGAAAGATGACGACAGCTTCAATCCGGACCCCAACATCCCAAACAAAGGCCAAAAGCCAACCGATTTGGCGAAGGAACATGGCCATCAACCTAGTCGAGGCGCAGAGATTGACGAGGAAATTAGGCAAGAAGAAGAGGCGGAGGTTAGTCCGATCTTTCACCGATCGTCTCGCTGCCCACATAAAGAACATTCACTGATGACTGGTAATCATTTAATCATCCCCAGTTGCGCAAAAAAGGAATCAACCCTTAGTATCTCCAAGTTTCGAGCCCTTCCTCTTCAGAAGGAAAAGCGTAGTTCATGTTTCCGATCTGCTTTCTCGCTTCCTTATAACTGTGTAGATGTTTGCCTTATCCGCAATGGGTCCACAGGTAGCTAGCCAGCAGGCACAGGTCTACTCTGATTTTCCTCTCATGAAGGCATGGATAGCGTACAAAGGTATGAAAACATAAACGTATCAAAAATATTATTGAGTGAGTTTGGCTCTTGTAAGCAGGATGTGTATGGAAAGAAGTGCCATAAAAACAAATTATGTGGGATCAAGGGGCCCGAGTTTCTGTTGTTAAAAATGAGATTGTGTGATCAGCATTAGAGCCTCGTTGTTTGCTTCCCCCGATATCCGACATCATGTAGACTTCTTCTGCAGCTGATCTCACACCAAAAGATAATAAGTTGAGTTCTGATGTACAAGATTTCAAATCAGAATTGGATGAATTTCATGATTTTTTGATTGATCAGAAGTTAGGGGATGGGACTTGAACAGGATTTTATATTCCAAGGCTTTTCTCTCCATCTGTTTTATATTGAAAAATCTCTCAAATTTCAGTTGTAATTTCCTTAAGAAAGAAAAAGCTATTGGAGTAAACTTTGGTCATAGTATATTACAGATCTACTGAAACAGGTCAAGCGATTGAATAAATCAATCTTTTTCAACAAGATACATTTTCAAGAATTATTTTGGTTTGTTCCCATGAAATCAAGTCTTTTTTTGTGATGGTCAAATTGGGTTCTGGTTCTGATCCTTTTTCCAGTTGGACAGTGATTAAAAGAAAAAAAAAATCAAAACTTGGTGTGTTTGGAAACAATCCTCATCATATCTGTCTTTCTGTTTATTTTCAAGCCTAATCACTGATCAATCAACGGTCAAAGTCTCAGAAATTTGGTTATTTTTCCTACTTTCTAAAATTGTTGCATGTGAGAATGTCCTCTCAACTTTGTCAATTTCTTATTTTGCATATTCATAGTGCGCAGTGTTGTATCAAATCTGCACTCAAAAAAAAAAAAAAAGATGGTCAAAGAACCAAAAACAAAAGGGTCTATGTTAATTATCTGGACTCAAATTTTCATTGGCTTCAATCCTCCATCACACAGTTTTTATCTTTGCTGAATTGAAATATTAAAACTCCCCTTGAACAAAATCATCAAGAGTCCCTCTCCACCCAAATCTCTTGAACTTAACTTGATATGTGAAAGATCCATCAGGCCATAGGATCTCAGAATTCAAGGTCTTGTGGCAGACACCCAGTAATTTCATGTAAATGCATCTAGTATTTTTGTGGCTAAACACACACCCCTTGTGTTTCATTAAATTTTAAAAAAAGAATGAGCGGGGCATGTAACTGGCTGCTTGGCTTCCAGCTTTCAGCTTAAAAGTCTTCCTGTTTACCTCCTCTTAACATGCAATTGGTGAACTTGGCAAACAAAAAAAACTAAGTTATGTGACTAATCAAACACTACAGGTTGCTGATTCTTCTTACTTGACCCAATAGGAATAGTTGTAAGATGCTTGGTTGGATTGGTAGCACCATGTGAGGTCTGGATCAACTTTGTGTAACTCCTTCATGCATTTTGGAGGTTCAACCTGCCAATAAGCATCCTGAGTAGATGGGTCAGTGGAGGCGGCTATCGAGTTAGTTTCTTCCTTGTTGTCCCTCCATAATCATCAATGAGACTTTTCAGTTTTGCATGGAACTGAAATGGAAGCATGCAGTGATATAGCGAGTCTGGCTATTTGACCCTGAAACAGTGTATACCGGATGCTGGGTCGCTGGCCATAGTCGAGTTGCATATTCAAAATGAGACCCCCTCCAGCCTTCCAGCATGATCGAGAGAGGTCGATTGATCTGTGCTGCGGGGCGTGGCTGTATCCTCGCAGCTGGATCCCTTGAAAAATTTTCCGTTGACCATTCCCAGTTTGGGCCGTCCCGCATTCACCCTTGACAAGGAAAAACCCACCCAGAACAATATCCGACACGAACAACAACACTACCGGTCATTGAGACTCACCCCAATCTGAACACCTTGAACCACCTCACAATACCATAGACTTACCCCACCCACGCACTTCATCATGAACTCTGCAGCTCGACTATCCCGGGCCATTCAGCCTCTTTCGTTCCAGTCTAGGACATTATCCCGAACTATTCCCTTCGCTTCAAACTCTCACTTGCAGCAGCGATGGTCGTCTAGTGGCAAGGTCACCGGTCCCGTCATCGGTATCGATCTCGGAACCACCAACTCCTGTGTCTCCATCATGGAAGGCAAAAGCCCAAGGGTGATCGAAAACACCGAGGGAGGACGAACTACGCCTTCAGTCGTGGCCTTCACCAAAGACGGTGAAAAACTGGTCGGAATCCCTGCCAAACGTCAAGCCCTAGTCAAGTTCGTTATGCCCACCCTTCTCTGAACATTTCTTTGTGCTTGTCATGAATCGCAGAAACGAAATCTGATCATACCTTGTTTTTTTGTTATATATAGCTACGAAAACACATTCTTCGCTACCAAAAGGCTGTTGGGCCGAAAATTCTCTGATGCTGAAGTTCAGAAAGACATCAACCAGGTCCCTTACAAAATCGTCAAACACACCAATGGTGACGCTTGGCTGGAGGCACGTGGACAAAAATATTCACCCAGTCAGATAGGTGGATACGTCGTTCAGAAGATGAAGGAGACCGCCGAAGGCTACCTGACAAAGGATGTTAAGCACGCCGGTTAGTCATCGTGCTTTTTATTTGACTGCGTCAATGCTCTGATATAACCGCTAACGGCCCCGCCCCTCCGCTCGCAGTTATCACCGTTCCTGCCTACTTCAACGACGCTCAGCGGCAAGCAACCAAGGATGCCGGTGCCATTGCCAAGCTGGATGTTCTCCGTGTGATCAATGAACCCACCGCTGCTGCTCTGGCATACGGTCTGGACCGCGAAGAATCGCGGCTCATTGCTGTATACGACCTTGGAGGTGGTACTTTCGATGTTTCGATTCTTGAAATGCAGAAGGGTGTCTTTGAAGTCAAATCAACCAATGGTGACACACACTTGGGAGGTGAAGACTTCGATATCGTACTGGTCGACCACATCATCTCCGAGTTCAAGAAAGACACCGGTATCGATCTTAGCAAAGACCGAATGGCTATTCAACGAATCCGAGAAGCCGCCGAAAAAGCCAAAATCGAACTATCGTCTACTTCGCAAACCGACATCAACCTCCCATTCATCACCGCCGATGCCACAGGGCCCAAGCACATTGACATCAAGCTGGGTCGGGCTAAATTCGAATCCCTCGTTTCCAAGCTAGTCACCCGAACTGTCGAACCTTGCAAGAAGGCCATCGCAGATGCCGGTATCAAGAAAGACGAGATCAACGATGTGCTATTGGTCGGAGGTATGACACGAATGCCCCGGGTTATCGAAACCGTTAAATCGCTGTTTGGTCGAGAGCCAAGCAAGGGTGTGAACCCCGATGAGGCTGTCGCTGTCGGCGCTTCAATCCAGGCTGGTGTTTTGTCCGGTTCCGTCACAGATGTTCTTCTGCTAGACGTTACTCCGCTTTCATTAGGTATCGAGACCCTTGGTGGCGTCTTCACGCGGCGTAAGTCCTGAAAGAAATATGTTTAATGATGACACGCGCTAACTTGCTTTTTCTCACCTCAGTAATTAACCGGAATACCACTATTCCTACCAAGAAGTCCTCCGTCTTCTCCACAGCCGCTGATGGCCAGACGGCGGTTGACATCAAGGTGTTCCAGGGTGAACGAGAACTTGTCCGGGACAACAAGCTATTGGGTAACTTCCAACTTGTTGGAATTCCTCCTGCCCCCAAGGGAATTCCTCAAATCGAAGTTACCTTCGACATTAACGCCGATGGTATCGTCGATGTCTCTGCCAAGGACAAGGCAACAGTAAGTGATTCAAATTCTCTATGAAAAATCTTGAATTTGTGCTGACAATGTACTTCTACCTGGTCACCACAGAACAAGGAGCAATCCATTGTCATTGCAGCCTCGTCCGGTCTATCAGACAAGGAAATTGAGCGAATGATGAACGAAGCCGAGCAGCACGCCGAAAGCGACAAGGAACGCCGAGGAGTCATCGAGGCGGCCAACCAAGCCGACAGTGTCTGCGCAGACACTGAAAAGGCCATCAAGGAGTTCGGCGACAAGGTTCCAGTTGAAGAGAAGGAGGAGGTGATGAAGTTGGTAGCCGAGCTACGCGAACTTGCTGTGAAGAGTCAGAGTGGTGACGAATCTATCAAGGCCGAAGACATCAAGGAAGCCGTTAGCAAGACGCAGCAGAAAAGTTTGAACTTGTTTGCCAAGGTACGTCAAGTTTCCCCTTGCCGTCTTTTTCCTACAGTTTATTATCATCTTCCGTCGCTCCGTCGCACTCATCCCTCACCTCTCTCCCCAAACATTACAGGTCTACGAAGCCCGTAACAAGGAAGAACAGTCCTCCAACGACTCTGGTTCCACCCCTCCACCCCCGGAATCAGACGAACAGAAGAAGAAAGATTAGATCATCTTACATATCTCCCCCCACCACCTCCAAAAAAAAAAAATCCCGATCACCCTTCGTCTCAGATCGCCTCTGATAGAAATACATTAACTTCTCATTAATGAAGGTGGATCTAACGATTTCAATGCCGATTTTACATGTTGATAATTGTCCAATTCCTTTTTTTTTTCTCTTTGCTCTTTTGCATGTAATTGGCGATACTTGTTTTTCTTTGTCTGGTGCCATTTTTTTTCTCTATCTCTTCTTTCAATCCATACCCCTCATCCCCCCTATGAAAGAAAATCCCTTGTTACAATCCCCTCTCTCTATGAAACTTATAACGATAAGAACAAAAAAAAAACAAGAAAGAAAAGATTACGATACAAACATATGTTGATTGATATGCTCAGATATGAACATCACTCGATCACATTGATCAAGTGTAATAACAAGGGATTTGGCCATCCTGAATCTCAAAAGCCGATCTGACCTGAGACCTGGGTTGTGATCAAACTTACAAGTTGTCGTCCCATCGAATGTTCATTTTTCTGACAACACACTGGTACACTCCCATGAAAAGTGTCATTTAAAGACTGCCAATGCCTTGTTTGAGATCATGTGCACAAACTCTCTTGTGGATACCTCGGCATGCTGGCATTGACACTTTCTAATCACTTGAGCATAACCGGCTCGACAAGGGAAAAACTGTCTTGAGGAATATATAGCAAACTCAAACACTCAGGTAGAAATATGTATATATACCTGCTAGAGCTTCTTAGAGGGGCCAATATCGACTGGAGAGCTACTATCAAGGAGATGGGTCAGCAATCCTCATGCCCAGTGCACTTCCATTTGTTCACATAATTTCTAAGAATGTTGTATCATTACTCTA